CAACGCGGAAATTTTATCGCTCAGGGTACCAGACGTCATGATGGTCGAGTAGAACTTGTGGGAAGAAGAAGCAGATGCCCTCTGAGCAGCCGCATACTCCTCATTTTCTTCCTGTAGCAATTTGTTGGCCAGCTCGTGAACGCGCTCCATAAGGTGGCGGGGCAAGGCGTTCATATGTTTCGTGTCGCCGGCGGAGGAGGGCATAGGGATATTGTACCAATCGGAGCGAGGAAGAACGTTCTATCACGATCACGTTAGCAAAAAGCGTTGTGGTGCTAGGCCGGTCCACAACTTACCAGCTTCAAATACTCCTTAGGCACCACAGATTCAGACTGCTTTGTCTTAGGGGCGGGGGCTTCCTCGATATCGGATTCTGGCCCGCTGCTCTCTGCATTATCCTCGCTGTCCTCCACATCGTCCTCACTCTCAATTTCCTCTTCGACGTCTTCGACTTCGTCATCTGCTAGATCCTCAGGCACGACGTGGCCGGAAGCCTCCAACATGCTAGAGAGCTGCTTCCGAAGATCATCATCAACCTTGCCGGACTCGCCCTCAACTTCAGACTCAGAGTCGACACCAGCAAGAAGATCAAGATCCTCCTCAGTACCACCCATAGCTAAGATTTCTTGGCGCAGTGTTTCGTCGTCATTGCTCTTCTTGCTGACCTTAGGCTTTTCTTGCTTGGTAAATCCACCCTTGTTCTGCTCTCGAGCAATCACCTCGCCGTTGCGATCCCGCTTCTTGCCTTGCGCAGAATCCTGATTCCGGCCGGGCTTGGCGGGAGATGGTTTTCCTTTATTGGCAGACGCATTAGCAGCAGGTGCCGATGGCTTGGTGTTATCCTTCTTGCCCTTCCCGGTGCTCTGATTCTGGTTCTTCAAACGCTGTTCGATTTTCTGTCGTAGGCCTGCGAAGGCGCTCTCGTCCGGCATGAATGGCAGAGTTTCCGCGGCGGGAGCTGAGACGCTCGTCGCGGGAGCATTCTCATTAGCGCCCGAGGAGCGCTTTCCTTTCCCTGTAGCCATGTTGTGATGTGTTTGGGGTCGACTGATGAAAGAAAGAAAATTAAACGGAGAAATCTTTTGCGGCGGGTTATCGGGGCGCTCGGACCAGCCCGATAAGAAACACCGGAGAAGGGAGACTCTCGGCTTGCTCTACAATTTATTTTGTGTTTAGCCAGCAGTTCAATTGCGAGAATAATAGTTTTCAACGCCTTTAGTCATCTTGATCGATGCTTTCTAGGCTACGACCTCTATCAGGGCGCATAGTCGGGCGGCGGCTAGCGTTGAGCCTGCGCGTTCAGCAATGCAATCTTCACGTACGTGCTTCCAAAAGATCGATTGAATGTGGTTGATCGTGAGTACTGACTCGATGTAGGTTGATGGAAGAAGCCGGGTTTCAAATATCTGGATCCCTACTGGTGGAATTTCCAAGAAGCCCGTTGATGGTGAAAAGGGTACGCCATTCAGAAACCCGATAGGAATTGACTATCACCAGATGTTAACAGAGATCCAGAGGATGCCAATGACCTGCTAGTCCGAGGTGGCTTTCTCAGACAGGTGAGCATTCGCATCTTTTATATTCAAGTAAATATCCCTGACAGCCCTCCAGGCGTATTCTGGCATATTTCATATGCTCCCGCTTGGTCTACGTGTTCAAGATAAGCTTGAGCGTCTGATTGACAAACATATGCGCTCACTTGGTATGTGGTATACCCTGCATTTACATGGGATGGCAACTAAAGCAAATTTAGGCGCATCCAAGGTCTCTTTGTCCTCAATATCCTCGCAAGAGCTCTGGGGGCAGTCTGGCAGACTGACCGACGGCTCAGAAGTAGGTTAATCATACCCAGTGTCTTGCATAATGTCACTAACATGGATCATAGCTATTCCGCTTTAATGATCGGAAAGACACCCCATTTCTCTTAGCCCCAACACACGAGGAAGAGATTACAACCCTTGTAGGGAATCTGACAACATCATACAAGAGCCTGCCTCTGCGGGTCTATCAAATCTGTGAGGCTCCTTGTTTGTATTTTATTTCTAAAACTCACTGACGAAATGACAAATGAAGCACGAAAGTACAGAGATGAGGCCCGGCCCAGACAGGGCCTGCTTCGTGGGCGAGAGTTTATCATGAAAGACCTCTATACATTCGACTATAGTGTCAGCGAAGCACTGAAAACATATGATGCAGTCAAAAATGCCTACACCCAATTGTTCAATGAACTCAAGATTCCCTACTTAGTCGCGGCAGCAGACTCGGGAAATATGGGCGGCTCCTTGAGCCATGAGTACCACTTCATCAGCCCGAAGGGCGAGGACGAGGTGATCAGCTGCTCGCACTGTGACCATGTCTATAACGAAGAGCTCGCAGATGGCAAAACGCACAGCTCTCAGGAATCCGAACAGAACACGACACCTGGCTTCCAGACAGATGATACACTTGTCGAAGGTGGACCGACAATCTCAACTGGCATGTGGATGGCCATCTCTCACGATAACAACACCATCGTGCGGAGCTGGCACCCGAAATTCTCGATGCAGGACGGCGCGACAGAGCCCGTTGAGCGCCATGTCAACTCACACGCCGTCAAGGCGGTAGCGACCGCCGCTGGTATTGACCTCGATCTGAGCGTGGAGAACCCACTACAGCGATGGACCGCCCATGTAAAGGCAAACAAGTCATCCACACACAAGCCGCGGGTTTTGGATCTATACGACTCGCAGGTTCGAGTATACCAGCGCCCGCCGCTGAGCGATCTTCTCCAAGAAGTTGGTTGCACAGCCTCGGACATAGATTACTCTAAGCTGGACCGATTCCCCGGGACTTCAAACAAACTCAGCCTAGTCCGCGTCCATAACGGGGACCAATGTTCACAGTGTGCGCATGGATCGTTAACTAGTCACTCTGCCGTGGAACTAGGACACACATTCCACTTGGGAACGCGATACAGCGAAGTTCTTAATGCTTCTGTTTCTGTCAATTCTGCTCTCCTCGATGGTTCTTCGGAGGTAGTTGCGAAATCTTCCGCCAAGGAAAAAATCGTGCCGATGCAGATGGGATGTCACGGTATCGGTGTCTCGCGTATGATCTCTGCAGTTGCGAACCGACTTGCTGATTCCAAGGGACTCAATTGGCCGCGTGCTATAGCACCTTACGAGGTTGTGGTAGTCTCGGGAAAGGGGCTAGAGACTGTTGCGGATCAGGTGTATGACAGTCTTGCCGGTGATGCCGCAGCGCCAGTCGATGTTATTCTCGATGACCGGGACAAGGGTATGGGCTGGAAACTGGGTGATGCAGATTTGATTGGATACCCTGTTATTGTTGTTGTTGGCAATGGGTGGAAGAAGAAGCAGACCTTGGAGGTGCAGTGCCGTCGGCTGGACGTGAAGGAGGACGTGCCGCTGGATGGACTGCGCACGTTTGTTGAGTCTTTGTTGGCGAAACTCTGAATGGCTGGAAGCGACAGCATGTAATATTACTAGGTTAATTTGTACATTATCTCATCTCCGATCCACTTCGCTATAAATGTGAGACCAGTTCCTTATCTTGTGACCAACGACGCCCCAAGGGTCAGCAAAAAAATGAACTGCATATTCAATGCATCCGCCATAGCTATGTAAGATATATAGTGGATACCATGAGTTCTAGGGAACGATATACGCGAGAATTGACCACAATATATTGCATGCTATCTGTTACATTCACAGTAGCGGTGTAGTTAATAGGGCGTGAAGTTCTTGATTATTATCTGCAACTGATGCATCAAATCAATAACGTTCAATATCCACTTTTGCTCCGGATTCCGCATTTTCCGTAGCGATCGACTATCGCGATTCTCCACGGGGCTGCTCACGCCGAACACTCCGGTCCGAATACTCCGGTTTGTCTTACTCCACCCGCCGATATAGAAATCGCCTTGACTCATTAAAAGGGCAATTGATTCTATTTCTTTGGCTTACATGTTGCATTACCTTCATTTTTGTTTACATATTTATTACCTGTTTTCACAAGTTAATATAAGCATCGCACCATGAACCAGACCAACATCCACATTCCAAGCCTCGGCGGAACCAATGCCTTCACCCGAACTCTGAACAAGGAAGATGTGAAGATCTGCGTAGCTGTTGAGGAAGCCTTTATAGAGGCAGAACGATGCTCTGAGGAAAAAGTAAGCTAGAGCCTGAGCTAAATGAGCAATTCCTAGGATTGTTTCTTCTGACACAGTCCAAGTTCTGCTATCGCCTGGGAGCATGCCCGGAGCTATGCCTGGGACTTTTTGTTGAGAATCAGCAAGACCCAGCTTCACCTACACTCATTGGACATGTCATTGCAGTCCGCTCTCCCTATACACGTATCACCGACGGATCGATGTCAATGCCGGAGAATTGGCGATCACTGGATGATGAGCCTGTCTTTGTCAATGATGAGTTAATCGGGAACCACAAGTATGGCGATACTATTGCAATTCACTCTGTTGCAATTTCGCCGCAATACCAGGGCAAGAAGGTTGGGAGAGCTCTCGTCCGGGCGTACCTTGAGCATCTCGGGAGAGGGTGTTTTGGGGCGAGCAAGGTTGTTCTTATCGCGCATGACTACTTGGTGAATTTTTATGAAAGTGCTGGGTTTAAGAGCCAGGGGAAAAGTCAATCCAGCTTTGCTGGTGGTGTGTGGTTTGATATGGTATGTTTATTCATGGTGTGGACTAACCTTAAACTTATCGTCCAATGCTAATAAATGTCTGCTAGACTTTTGATCTGGAGTGATCCCAGTTTTGATTTTGATTTCTCGCACTGCAGCCATATTATACAGGATTCAAGGGGCTTACAGGCAGCAAGGAAGATGGCACCCAGAATAAAGATAGCGTTGGGCATAAATATAGACTCTTTGAAGGTGCCTTTCCTTCTAACACGACCAACTCTTACTCACAATATCTTTTGCGAGCCCCAAATCGAAAGTTACTTATCAACATCTCCAAGGTAGCCACTGAACCGGATTTAGTTTGTGTTTGATTGTACCTGCTGGCTTCCATGTCCCTCGGAACTCTCTGCACTGCTCGTCAGCCACTTCAAATCTTCCAAGTCAATCATCACAAAGGATTGTGATATGGGATTCCACAGCACGTTGCGGAAAGCTGCATCTTTCTGAATAGCTCCATGTTCTTCAAGTTTGTTCTCAAGTTTCCGCATCTCCTGTTCAAGGAACCGAGAAGTTTCAAGAGTGGCATGCTGATCCGTTCGAATTCCAGACCAACTGAGGAGCAGCATGTAGTTCATTTGAATGCCATGATACCAATATGGGATCGTAGGTGAAAATATCCCAAGACATACAGGAATTTGAGATCCCTGCAACGACATAAGATTCTTATAGTTGTTCAATTCAGCATTGATTCTGTGCGACCTGCTGATGCTGGTGGCCTTTATCAACATCGTGTACCCATGAGACAGTAATGTTGCTTTTAACAGATAACAGGTTCGACCGACAATGTGCAGCTGCTGGAATCCTCTATACCGATTCGCCCGAAGTTGGTCATTCATCATCTCACAGATCTCCTGTGAGCTGATTTGGTGTCTTTCTACGCCGTGCTGAGTAGCATTCGGACAGTCTTCATCCAAAACATCCTTTTCAAAGGTGCCAAGGAGGCATGCTTGTGTGCAGTAAGGCGTGCAAACGTCTGACGACTCGGAGGGCTGTAAACCAGAGTCTTCAGAATGGCCAGTTGGTATGGTTGCCCGCAGAAGATTCTCCCAAAATCTAGCCCAGAATGAGTTTTCGTACATAAACTGTGGTGCTGGGTGGAGTCGAATGTCATCCGGGGCTTGAGGCATGAGAATTGAGTAATCATCTTTGAGAGGGCGATACCCTCGCCAAACTGCATCCTGCCATTCCTGCGATGGTGGGGTTGCAGCTAAAGATTGTAATGTGAAAGCGAGAACTTGGCCCAAAGCCGTGCGGCGAACCCAGTTCGAATGCAAATCATAACCATGAGAAGCGACGTCTTGAGCAGGCACACACAGATAGTATTCAACAACGCCGGAATTATCCAGAGGAATGTGAAGAAACACCAAGGCCTCTCCTGTATAAATATACCCATACCGGCGTCCAGAACCAATCATCCTTGAATAGATTCGAACAATCGCATGAACCACTATGGCGATGGCGTATTCCTCAAATGTATTGGGCTCCTTTTGGAAGGATTTGAGCGGTGATGTCGCACATAACCCTGCAACCAGTTCGGGCACAGTCAGACAAAATGATGGCATATACAGCACTGCGTACGCTGGCTCTTCGAATCCGAATTTCGCCACAGAAACGCAGCAATCACGCGGGCGGTCGAAGTTCAGTTGTCCGCGGACACTGAACCTGTACCGCAGTGTGTCCTCACGTTCCAGAAAATTAACAATACTCCCGAGGTAATCGTCCAGTGCTCTGTGTGCAAATTGCTTCAGAGTGTACTCCGAATGCACCGGGTACCATTGCAGGAGCTGAGCAGTGTGTTGGATAGTGGGTTGCGGAGGAAAAATAGTTGCATTGACAAGCTCAGACGCGTGGAGAATTCTGTTCCACATCTCGTCTTGGTGTTGAGGAAATTTAATCCAAGGCCGGAGCCAGTCAGGGCACAGTCGATGATCCCCTGGGAACCAGGCTTCTGGCCAAAGCATCAAAGGTACGTTGACCCTGAACGCTTGTTCGAAGACATGATGGGCGGTCTCAAGAAGTGGAATCAGTGAGATGCCGGACGGAGGTGATTGAATTTGGCTTGGAACCTCTGGTTTTGCTGTCCCTTCCCCTATGTCTTCGATCATATGTTGCCATTCTGACCATGTTTGGTCCATGATGTAGTGAAAAGATATGAAAATACAAATTGAAGAATAGGCCTGGAGATGGGAGTGCTTTTGGCCTCAGTTGGAAAGGAAATTTCGAAATGTCCTGGTTCGTTCCTGCCAAAGAATCCCCTTTGTTTACTTACATGCACCTGATATAGATACCTAGGTATGATATCACGGCCTCAATAGTCATGGAACATTACTAAAAGTGTATTCTGCATATGTAACGACCGGAATTCTTGCGTTTACCATGTAGATCACTCTACCCCGTAGGAATAGGTGACTGAAAATACCAAATTACCAGTGTAGAAAAGGCATCGATCCAACCAACAGTCACAGTCTGAAGATATCCAGCATATGGAAGTCTCTGAGCATTTATCTGACCCCTTCGCCCAATGCAATGATTTGGGGTGGTCTTTGAATGTTTTGTCTGAAGATATATCGCTTGATCCACCAAGGAAGCCACACCGTCAGTTCATAGTGAATGAACTTCTTGGTCGGCACCGAGAAGACCTCTGCAATATTGTCAGTAAATGGTCATGTAAATTCGAGACTTAACTTACGATCCAATTCTTCCAGAGTCAGTTGTTTGGTCTCTCTGACAAAGCAGAAAATCATAAACCAAGCGATGAGGTTAAGACCAGCATAGAAGCCAACTATAGCGAAGGTGAGCAATTTCAACACTAGGATCTAGAAGTGTCAACTTACATGCACCAGTTTTGGTCATCACAGTCATCATTCGAGGGAAAGTTAGACTAAGAACGCCAGCTGGAGAAGGTTCTGTTAATGAAGCGCTTGGTGGATTCAATGTTTGGAAAACTCACCAAAAGTGTTGTTGATGCAAACAGCCCACGCCATTCCTTGTTCTCGTTGAATGGTTGGGAATACCTCAGCAGAATATTGGAAAGCGACTGGCCCTTCGCCTAGGGAGTAGGCAATAGTAAACAGATACACAAACCTAGTTGAAGAGATCAATCGACTTATACTCGGATAATGTGGAAATAATTACTAAACTTACAAGGCAACTGGTGCAATCATCGCAGCATGGTTCTCTGTCTTGTTCAAAAGCGAGAGACCACCGGCTAGCAGAAAGATGCACATCAGGGGGAATGTCTTCGTAAGAACAAGAGTCAGTAACATCCCCTAAGAAATCCCAGAATAACTCACAATCAAAGTCAAAGTCCTTCGGCCTTTAGTGTCGATCAGGAACAAAGTAGGGATTGTCGACACGACCTGGATAGCACCGTAGCCAAGAGACGCATACAAGGCCTGGTCTTCTGTGTAGCCGACATCCCGGAAGATGGTTGAGCTGTAGAACGAAATGACTAAAACGTGTTAGCTTTGGCTACTATTACGAGATGAGACCGAACGTACTATTGATACCGCACATTTGCTGCGCAATCATCACAGTGGAGGCACCATAGTTAGCCCGTCTGATCCTTGGAACGGCGAAACAGTCCCACAGACGGGAGAAATAGCCTGCGCCTCGGGCCTCCTTCAGTTCCTCTTCATAAATAACGTATGAATAATAGAAATCTCTTGCAGCGATAATTGGATGAGCTCGCAAGCGCAACATCGACTTGAATCCTTCGGCGTGTCTGTTGTGCTTCATAAGCCAGCGAGGAGACTCAGGGCAGAAAAAGATACCAATGGCGAGGATGAAAGATGGGATAAACGCGGAGCCAAGTTGGAGACGCCAAGCAATATCTTTGACGTCTTTGACAATAACGTTGGCAGCAAAGCCCAAGAAAATACCTGCACTGGAGGTTAGCTATGTTTTTCGACGGGAGACGAGAGATACCTACCTGCTACCACCCAAAGTTGCCAGAACATAACAAGAGCACCTCTAGTTCTAGCCGGAGCCATCTCAGCCGAATAAATGGGAACTGTGGCGTTCTTTGCACCAATTCCGATACCCATCACAAAGCGTGCAGCAAAGAGCCCTTGCCATGACTGTGCAAAACCAGAGCCAATTGGCGTGGCAGTGAGACAGAGAGCAGTGACGAAAATCTCACCTCGCCGGCCCAAGTAGTGATTAAGTGGATCAACAATCCAAGCACCACTATGTAAAAGGTCAGTCGCGAAAGATAAAAGGAAAATTATCCTCACTGGTGGTAGACTTACATGAGACCAGCGGTCAAGAAGATGATGGAGTTGACGATTCCCACGATCCATTCATCTTTACCTTTACCGGCAATACCAAATTCCTCAGGGAAGGACAAGTTGGCACCGTTGGATCCAGTCTGATCCCATCCTTGTGTGGCGGCTCCGATAGCACATAACCCAATTGAGTACCAGAGCATAAAGGGACCGTGCCATTTATGGTCCCTCTCGTATGCGAGCGCGGTGCGTTCCTCTTCATCAATCTCAGCGGCCGATGTAAATTCCTTGGGGCTCCGCGCAACCACAGCAGCCCGCCCAAATAGATCAGCGTACTCGCTCATATTATGCGACTCAGCGTACGCCCGAGCATCGATGATAGCCTGCCCCTTAGAGCTGCGCTGTAAGCATAAATATGGTTAGCGTTCATGCTCGACACGACCATGAAAGATTGGGGCTTTCAGTAGTAGCCTTACCGTCAACGGATTCTGAACGATATTGATACCGATAGCCTGGCGGCGTTCAGGTGCATCAGGGTTGGCCGCCTCATCCAGCTCTTTATTAGCCGGGATTGCATGCTCATAGTGAGGAGCAGCGCCCTCAGACGACTTTTCATCCATGGTCAGGAGCTTCTTGGTGGCCTTTCGGATTCAGGAGGTCTCTGACTTTGTGTTTCAAAAATCTTAAGGGGGGAAACTAGGAAAAATTGGCTACCCCACAGAATATAAAACGAGATCAAACTTCCCCCGTGGGGTGAGCACAGCTGCAGATCAGCCCCAAAGTAAACTTGTGGCTTTGTCTAAGGACGGCCACATTATACCACCCGTCAGCACTAAGACGACAACCGGGATCATAGCACCCGGGGCCAAGTCACGGACAGGACGCCATAATATTACATTTGTAAGTTGTAGCGCCACCGACATAGATGAAAAGAGCGTAAAGTGAGGCTCGAAAGAGTGTTAGCAGTTATTATTCGAATTCAAAATCAACCCGAGTCTGACAATAATCGTCGATCATCGCTGAATCGACCATGTCAAAGCGTATGCGGGGGAAGAAGGATGATCATGTACGGAGTAGGCCAAGCCTCGGCCTTTTGAGTCATGCGACATACAACCTAGTCGTAAAGGAATAGACTAGAAAATATAATGTATGTTTCATTACATGTGGCTGATTGCCCGTTTGATTCTCTCGTAAAGCTGAAAAGGAGGTGAATCTTTCGGATTGCTGCATTTGCTACAACCGGGCGTGTAAGATTGCAGTCAGCATCGGATATACCCGGATCACATGATTCTACTCAGCACTCTATTCGTGAAGTCGTGACCTTTGGAGATATATGACTATGGATATGAAAGTTTGAATATTACCTGAGGGGTTAGATTCTCTTCTCAAACCCAATCCGAAGGTCGGTCAGGTTGGTCTTCGATAATCCAGCAAATCACGGAGACACCTTCATCTGGGGCTGATTATAATTTTGTATAGGTGGGCTGACAACCTTAGTGCGTGGTTGCCTAGTGCCCTAAGCAACGGAACCCGTCCCTCGGCATCCTTGTTCTTGAGGCGGACTATGACCCCTCCACAAATTCCAATGCTCAGGCCTTTCCAAACCCCTTCTCTTTGCTTGGCTCCAAGATTGGCTGGTCCTATAAGACACTGCCCCAGCTCAAATCCGAGAACCGAGTGGATGAGGCCCAAGGACCTAGGAGGGGAACCGTGATCAACTTTAGTGGCTAGAGTCGGGGTGATGCAGCTGACTACAATGACTAGGCTAGAATACTTGGAGACCAGTGATGGAGCTATAACGAGCTGCTTCCATACTTCAAAGCCCCGAGGAATTCTTCCACGCTATCGCAGACCTTGAGCAACGTTGATCGCAGCTTGTCATCGCTACTATAATATGTGCGGCAGGGGTTCCTACATTCATGAAGGGCTTCCCGGCAGATGAGACAATCAATCAGGATATACCAAGGCATCAGTGACAGGCATTCATGCAAAATGACAACGCAAGCTCCTGGTCCCAAGGAGACGAATCCTTCATGAAGCCTGGCAAACCTCCTGTTGAGACACCAATCGTCTATGTGCGCGGCCGATATGGCACACCATCATCTAGCTGGCACTGCCGCAATGATTGAGGTGCTTAATCCAGTCCTCCGGGACCTCAGAAACTTTGTCTCTCTTATTATTGATGTGAGTATCTTGCCTTTGAGCATTGGGGGTCACCCGCAGGCGACTCTTTACACAGCAGGATGTGAATATTATCCTATCATAGACAATTAGCAAATTTTGAGATTACTTTGTGCGCCTTAGTTTCCGAATTCGGTCTCATGGGTTTAGGCTGCTGACAATCAAGCTTAATGCTGTTATATCGTACAAATTCTACTAATGGCACCAGGCGTATGTAAACGGTCTATCGTCTTTGTGATGATCCTATTTGGGAAATATTTTCTTTCGACGCAGAAGACCATTTAAAGATTTCATACGGTTAAAAAATAGGCTATAACTTCATTCCAATTCTGTTTCAAGAGTTTGGTCCTTTTGTCTCTAAATGGAGTCTCGAGTTATTCTTGACCACTTTCTCTCTCTTCCTTTGTTCCATGTTAAGAGCAACAATAGTTTGCAAGTGATATCATTAATTAGTTCATAGGTATAAAGCCATTGTCTAGGTTTGCTAATTCTCTCATCAATGCGGTGCTTTGTTCTAAAAAGAGAGTTCTTGGAATAGAATGTATCCCTTTGTGTCTCCCAAAATACTCAGGCCAAGCTTGCAACAATCTAAAAAGTCACAAAGGGTCTCTCGAGTATTTAGCAGTTGAAGAATCCCACACAAACTACCATTATTTCCAATCATCTAGAGCAATTCCAAGTCAACAAGTCAACAAGTCAAGAATACAATCCAAAAACACAATCTAATAAGCCAACAAGCCCAACAGTCCAACGGTCAGACGTCTATACCTCTCATCAAAATCTTCCAATATGGCTCGAGTGATCACCGATATGAGATTAAATATGAGCTCAAGGTTTGAGGGTCCCTTTTGGGCAGCAGTTGGTATCGATATGACCACAAACTTTGGAGATCAAATGGCTGTCCTCCACTTGATTCGAGAGATCTATAATCCCGTATTGTACGATTGTCTTCAAAAGGGAGGTCACTGGAACACAGCATTCAAAGGTAGGAAGGCATTTGATATCAGACGTAGACTCACCACTAGGCGAAATGAGTTCCCAGCTTTAGTTCTCGCTCATGTCCCAGATTCAGCGGACCTTACCGAGCGTTTATTCGATATTCTTCGATATTACCGCTTCACTGATCCTACATGGAGATTCGTCGATCCTAATTATCCTACTGCCGAAGTTTTCCCTCTCCCTGCTCCTGCAGGTGGCCTTGCCCCTAGGCCTCCACTTGCTCCTGCTCCTGCTCCTGCTCCTGCTCCTATGCCTGTTCTTCCTCTTGCTTTTACCACTGCTCCTGATCTTCACCCAGCTATTCCTATTTCTCGTGTTCCTCTTCGTTCTGGTCCTCCTACTGCTGCTCGTGCCCGTGCCCGTGCCCGTGCCCGTGCCCGTGCCAATGCTCCTGCCCGTCCTCTTGTTCGTGCACCTGTTCATGCACCTGTTCGTGCACCTGTTCCTGCTCCTGCTCCTTCTCCTGCCCCTGCCCCTGCCCCTTCCCCTTCCCCTGTCCCTTCTCCTGTCGCTTCTCCTCTCCCAATTCCCACTTCTCCTGTCCATACTTCTCCTATTACTCTCATTCAGCCTAGTATTGGTCTCCTTCCAGATCTTCCTCCCGTGATTGCCCCCGGAGTTCTTCACGACCCTATCCCAGATAGCCCACAGCCTGGCTACTATGTGCCCGCTTCTACGGAAGTTCCATCTCCGCCTCAAAATCCTGATCTAGATCCTTTCACACGTACTATAGAACATACTAATCGCAAGCGGGCTAGGGATAAGGGTGATGAAGAGGAGGGAATGACTTCCCCCCCACAAAAGAAGAGATCGATTGACCCTAAGTTGCCAAAGGAGAAGTCCGAATGGACTAACTTCACCACCCTAAGTGACTCGTCTTCGAATGATTCACGAAGTCTGGATGTCGATGGTGATCTCCCGATGGATAAAAGTTATAAGCCTTATAAGGTTCAGAATACGCCTGTTGAACCAGAGCCTAGTGTGTGGTCTACGATGCGAGATTATCTTGTGGGCCGCGAACCTACCCCACAGGAACCAGATGAGGAGATCTAGGGGACTCGAAGATGGGTAAGTGATGTAACCCATGAAGATTCAGCGCAGCCCAGGATTTATGTTGGTGATACAGTTATGACAGAGAAGGAAAAAGCGTGATTATGATACCTAGACATTGCCAGACTTCGACGTTATTAGATCTCGTTTTTATATGCTACTTGATTGTATACTAGACTGGAGTTTTTATTGTGAAGATTCGATTATGAGAGATAGCCAATGAACATACTTTTACCTACTTACTACGTGCTATGAAATACTTATAGATATAGATGAGGTCATTCATCCACGGATGCTTCAAACAATTTAGTATCGATGATGAATACCAAAGTATAGATTTGTTAATCGAGGCCTATCATGCCTTCTCCTCAATGTAGTTTTTTTCTTAAACGGGGTTTTAGTAATTTCGATCCCATACTTAAATCAATCGACAGTTTCGTGGTATATTATTTATTTATGTACATCCCCGTGCTCACCTACAATATTGGAGGCAAACTATGGTCCGTAGCTAGCAAAGAAGGATGGTATGCGAGGTTCTCCCAAAAGTCAGTCTCGAAATCACACAGATCCTGGCTGAAAAATGCAGCCCAATCACCATTTTCTCCAGGGTGCGACGGCAATTGGGTCGGGGATTGTATCCCTTCACGGTGTATAGAATCAAGGAAGCGCTCGATAGTCTGTGTCGCTTTGGATATCAAGGCGTAGTTTGGATCTCCACGACGAACGATGCTCCCTACCTGAACCTGCGCGACAAAGATACCGAGATTGAGTATTGTTTTGGACCATGAGGATTTTCCTTCGGTTAATGTGCGGTGTTGCTTCAACATTGAAAGGAGGATAATCCCTGCAGCCGGGAGGCCAAAGTGAGCGATCTGACGAGGGTTTAGTCCAGCAATTGAAGATTTGAGTCCTAGAAATGGATAGACATACCTTCCAGACAAGTCCTGTTCCAGAGTTAATCAGTTGATCTCGTAGAAGAATTGTGTCCACTACGAGGGAGAGCATTTGGTCCGAGATGTCGAGTATAGATGGATCGGGCTCGGTTAGGGTATCGAGAAACGCTAACTGAAGTAGAAAGAGAACATGTAGTTGGTCTAGGCGTATGCTAGCTAGAAGGTCACGTTCGAACGCGTCCCCAGTGCATTCTTTCAAAGTGCCCGAAAGTCGGAAGCGAGGAGGTAGGTTTGCCCATTGAGTTTCAGCTTTTTGTCGGATGATACTATGTCAAACACTAGGATGAGCCAGGGGATCCCACATTATAGGGCTCCAGCTTACCTAGATTTCCGATTGAAATTCTCGCGCTGCTTTGACCGGAGCAGTTCGAGGATATCCTCTTTCAAGGCGGAACAAAGGGTCGCCCACCGAATACCTGACCTATAACAGATCGGCGTGTCTGCTTTCCATCTGACGACCTCGTCCTCAACGTGTGACGTGTTCCAAACCTGATCCGAGCTTGCCGGAGTCAAAGGTACTTGAAAGTGACAGAACCGCTTGCTCATCCGAGGTGGGCGACCAAGGAATATAGCCACATTCTTGTCCGCCGAGTATGTGGTGGCCCAAGCTGTCTTTCGTAATTCAGCAAGAAAAGTCGGGATTGGTGGCTTTGTCTTTTCAACATTCTCATGGTAGCCAAGTGCAAACATGGACGACACAACATCTCCAAGTCTACTCCATGAATGGTAGCCTGGATTATCAGTGAGCTGCGAATTTTGAAAGGATAGAATCAAGGGGAATTCTTACTTTGGTCCCCATCAACATGAGTGTGTACAATAAAGTTCTCATACTGTAAAACCAGTTGTAGGTCATTTAAGCAGTCCAGCGACAGTGCAATGTCTAACGCAAGGTCACTCAATTTTGTAGATAGCTTCCGAAGCACGAACTGATCCTTTTCGGTTTTGAACAATGGCGGGAAGAATGATATATCGATCGCTGCTCGGCTCACAGCCGAGAGGAAGATACCTAGACTTTCCCATCGGAATTTCTGATCGAGGAACTGAGCAGAGAAAGTTTCCATATCAGATGTGCTGCTAAATTGCAAAGGTTCTCGGGAATTCTGTGTTAGACGTTGGGCATATGCCAAATGCCAGTTATCTTCTTCCGAGAAGGATGTGAATAGGCGCGTCATGTTTTCAGTACACTTCTCGGTAAAAGGCTCTGCCAGAGCTAAATTTGCTCCTGTTGCCAGCCAAAAAGTAACAAAGTCCTTCATAGCGGCTAGAGGAAATGTGTTTAACAGCTGTCTGAGGACGTCCGCGCCTTGGATTAACAATATATTCTCACCAGTGGAATGGGACTGCATCAGCATTGTCATGTCCTCTGAAGGATGGTATGTATCAGATGCATGATAGTCTTGGGGAGAAATTTCGTTGAAAATAGCGACATGGCTGGAGGATCCTAGAAAGCCGGGGTTTGGATAGGGGTTATTCCTTGGAGTGAAGGATGGTTGGGCCGGAGGTAGCCGACTTCAAATTCGATAAGCATGTGAACATAAAGCAAATATAATAAAATATCACATATCACATACCTAGGAGACTCCAGAGGTGTAGAGCTCTCTACTCTTCTCCTCTTGAATGGCGTTGTCCGATAAATGCAAATTGCAGCTCTATCGTTACTTACACACCGAGTACATGCCGGTCGCTTATGATCACAGGCGACTTTTGCTTTTCTGCAAGCTTCACATGCTGCCAGTCTCGAAGCCATTGATGTGTGGTAAAGAAGGAGATTACGGAGCGGAGCGGAGAACTGGGATTCTTCGGAGTGATCTGATGTTCCCCGCAGATAACATTCTACCTACACGGAGTCACAGCTAATAAATTTGTGGATAATACACCGATAGCTTCCTCGTAATAAGTTTATAGGCTCATAATACATATGAGCCTATAAGCTTAAGTCTTTCATTATTGTCAAAGATGTGATCTGTACAAGTTAAGTGAGGTGAGGTAGTGAGGTGCGTGTGCTTAAGCCCAACCCGCCACTATCACCACTATCACCACGCATTCGACCCAGGAGTTTTCTGAAGCTCCCCCCACCACCTATACACCCATACAGTCCCAATGCGAGGACCTGATCTACAATAACACAAAACTCCCGATTCGGAAATTGATTCCACAAATACTACATCCATCCTTCCGAAACCCAAAATGTCACAAAACGCCCCATCCTCAGACGGAGCTCCCCAGGGCTCAGGTGCGTCTCCGATCCCCCAACGCTGGATGACACCGCAGCGCCGGCCTCTAGCTTTCTGCGTCATATGGGGATAAATTTCCAGCTAACAATCCGGAACCAGTCAACCTCGCCTCACTCTCCGTTCCTCAGCTCCGTGCCCTCCAAACCCGCCTCACCTCCGAATTGGAACACCTAACCACCTCGCACACGAAGCTACGCGCCGCCCAGGCCAAGTTCCGTGACTGTGTGCGCTCGATCAATGACGGCGTGACCGGGAACGAGAAGAAGGGAACCGATGGCCGCGATGAGATCCTCGTGCCCCTCACCAGCTCCTTGTACGTCAAGGGCCGGTTGACAGATCGCGAGAAGGTACTTGTTGATGTCGGAACTGGATTTTATGTTGAGAAGGTATGTGGCAGCAAGGATCTTGGAATATTGGTGATTGGTTTGGTATGGCTGACAATTAGTTTTTCTCCAGACTGCGCCTAAGGCGATTGCGTTCTATGATGATAAGGTCAAGGGCTTGGAGGCAAACTTGCAGGAGTTGGAGAAGATCGTACAGACCAAGAGCTCGCAACTACGCATTGTGGAAGAGAGTGAGTTGGCTCCTTTTCTAAATAATAGGAGGCGGGGTTCATGTTCCCTTGCGAGGCTTTTTTTTTCTCTTCGTTTGCTAACCTCTCTCCTACAGCATTGAGGCAGAAGATGCTCGTCGAAGGTGCTCCTCAGGCCGCCGCGGGCTAAACTCGACCCACGTGGTACGAATAGGTCAGCATGATTTACCATAGAGAAATCGAAATCATATACAGTGGTTCTATCTCACCATTCTAGAACAGGCAGACTGGAGATGAAGTATAAGAAAAAGAACAAGAAGGAAGAAGCCTGAATCCAGGGCTGAAGGGGCTCTCCGATATTGGGAACCAGGAATAACTTCAAATATGAATTGAACTATTATTGCTACATACCTAATGATCTCGGCTTGATAAGCAAGCCAGACGGTAGTGATCTTTTGTTTTTGCTCTTTGTTTCCTTTTTTTTTGCTCCATTTTGTTGTTTTTCTCCCGTTTGTTTCTTCTTTCAATTGGCCCTTGCGGTCACATCAGACGTGACAATTTTGTAACGATTTGCTGACATCGACTAGAACAGACTTCCAAGATCAGTCTCGAGGACCTCAGGCATCTCAGCGCCTGGATTCGCCAGCATCCGCGCAATCTTCTGGACAACACCCATGAAAGCGCCAAGCTGCTCCTCTTCGTCTGTCTTTCGGATTTCAGCCTCCTCGCAAATCTCATCATCTGTTTTCTGCTTGTCCGTCTGTTCCTGGTCACCTTCAGGCGGAGGAAAGAACACCGATAGACACCGATCAGATATCTCTAGGGCCCCGACATCAGCCTGTTCACCTAGTATATCATCCCAACTAGGATTGAACAGCGATGCACCCCAGGAAACTTTGGGCGTCATCGACCAGTGACCAGCCGAGTACGTGTACTCGTCAAAGCGGGCGAGCTCGAATACATGCGGCGAATTTTTGACTTGGAGCTGGATTGAGGCCTTTTCGACGAATCGCTTGACTGGCGAACCATAGGAGAACCTTGCCTTGCGCTGGGGGGCACATCCAATGCTCTTTGCATTTGGGTTCCATTGGAAACGAATAGAACGCATGAATTTATCTAGGTCGGGGGACATCTCCCTTTCAGGGCAGAGTTCAAGAGCCTTCACCTCAAGTTGCCAGTCCGATCTAGATTGAAACTCAGCTTCCAGTAAATCTCAAAAGGATCTAGGGTAAACAAACCTTTCAAAGTCAATCATGCTGATCTGCATTGGCATCTGACGATCAACAGGAGCGCCGATCTGTTTTGATTTGAATAGACGGATTCCGTTGACTTCAAACTCTTGCGAGCCAAGAGGAAGCGAGAATTTCGCTTCCACACGAATCACCGAATCATTGTTCACTTGGTACTCAAAGTTGGCGGAGTATCTAGGCATCAGGTCCAAGAGGGATTTGGTTTGGACTTTACCCCAGGGCTTAAGAAATGTTGATTTCATGATTCGGTCGAAGATCTCCTCTTGCTGCAATCGGATGCTAAAAGATAAGTCAGTCGGCAAACTAGATTCCGGCAGATGTGATAACATACCCCGGAACCAAACGCCCTTCGGTGTTCAAATGGGTAAGCATCTCGCGAAACTCTGAGAACTCATAAGAAATGCCATCTTTCGGTTTGCGCCACTGTTGTAGCGCGAACGAACCGAACTTTGCTCGCATTTGCAGAAATCCTCGAAATTGAGGAATCACATGCAGTGCTTTCCTAAGACGAGTGGTGACAATGCTCTTGTTGTTGGCCTTGATCTCATCCGCAGTGGTTTTCCAGGTTGCCGCTACATCTGGAGCCAGTTCCGGCCCACAGAGAACAGGTCTCGAGAGCTGACTAGACTTTTGTAGGATGACGTGAGTTCTCATAAGCTCTGTCCGTGGCGCCGCAACAAGGAACAGCTTGATCTCCGTCTCGTACTGGACCATTAGCCTCTCCCACAACTCCCGGAATCGAGCTGCAATGATGCACATATCCCGCTCATCATTTCCAGACATGAAAAGGTAGTCCGGGATACCAGGCTTGATGTAGATGTTCGCGTCATATTTCAAGCGAATGAAATCGAGAATCTCGCGTCTGGCGGTAATAAAGTAGTGAAGTGAGGGACCATCCGACGGCCAAAGAAAGGCAAGCTGCAGTATCAAGGGACGGTTAGCCTCCATAAAGTACAAAGCAAACAAGGGCTAGCAGGCATTATCCATACTGTGTAATCTGTGGCAATTTTCGGTAGCTTTCGCATCTCGGACAATCTTTCCTCGTGGTTTTCCTGTGACCGGGCATGGGCAACCTTCGTATTCGAATGCGCGTGTATCTTGGCCCAACGCGATGCTCTAGGCAAAGTTCGCTGCTGCATTAAACGATTCAACATATCCTGAAGCATATTTTGAGCTGCCACAACCTGTTTTTGCTGGCCCCAGATGTGAACGAGCTTTAGGGTTATCAGTATATTCAGTCCTTCACATGTTAAGGAAGTTTAGCTAGCAACTGACTCTCGCATTTCCAACGCTCATCCTCACATAGGCACCAGTATCCTCGATTATTTTCTGGCGGAAGTCGATGTTGGAAGCTTCTCCTGAAGTTACTTGCCTGATCCTTCAGTGTCCACGTTAGTTCTAAGACCAAGGACTGCAAGGCTTATATACTCACTTTGCTTGGAATACTTGACACTCATAAGGCAAACGATAAGAAGCTATTTGACTGTTAATGGTGGGCTTGAGGTTGATGTCAGCACACTTACCATCTGGAGAAAAGCCCTTTCGCCACTTTGCCTTGGAATGAGAGTCATTGTGCCCTGGTGCGATAGGTGGATTCTTAGGTCTGTGTTGCGAAGGAGTTGAAACAGTACTGCCTTTTTTTGACTGAAACCGTGGTCGTGATGGGTCAGTATGTCCTCCCCGGACATGGGTACGTTGGCCCGATTTGAGATTATGTACCGAATGGTGCGGGTGTCGGGCAAACGTGCTGGAACTGCTGGTGTTAGGCCCGCGCTCATTGAATATTGGCCCCTCAGGTGCCTGAGCTCGACCTGCTCTAGGTTCAGTAATAACTGCCTGTATTGGAAAGGTGCTTTGACTTGGAATCGGTGATTGTGTGGGTAAAGGAGGTACACTTGAGAGAGACCGACCAGTTGCGGGCACCTTCAAAGTTGGAGGGTGCGGTGGATAGTCAACAGCAGGGGAATCATAGTTCACATCCTCGAAATTGTCCTCGAAATCATAATCAGCAGCTTTTTTGACCGCGTAGTCGTCATATTCCTGGCGGTAAATGGTCCCCCGGCCAAAATCTGGACCGGGGCCATAGTTAGGGAGTTCCCATGCTAGCTAAGTCAGTACGTACAGCCATAATTTAGATAAATTTATCTCTCACATTTGGCATTGAGACGCTCCCAGCTGCCGGAAGTTATTAGCGGAACGTACTTGCAAGTATCTGCGCGCGGAATATACTTACTCATTCTCGTGGGACTGGATTACAGACGCCATTTCAACAGAGTCAGACAGCCAGAAGTGTTCGATGACCACAACGATGTCTCACGGGATAGATTGTTTGGAATGAGCCAAGTCGAAAGAGGCGGGTATCTCAGGGATATCAAACGGGCAAGTGAAAGAAAAAGAAGATTGCGACGCCGCTCCTTTTCCGTCAAAATGCGACGGAACTAAACATCAATCGGTTGCCGGGAGCGACTGAGTGCGTACTAAGGAAGATAACCTAGGTGGAAAGTAAAAGCAAGCTAAAGGAAATAACGCCGAGAGCCGATTTGTCGGAAAACTGAGAAATGGGAAAGAGAGAGGCGTTAGGGAAATGAGGCTAAAGTGTAACTTCTTATCTGGGAGTTTATCAAAGAGTAAGAGCATTCATCTATTCTTGCCCGTAGGTAGAACCGCGGTTAGTGATTACATATGTACGTCGTAACTACGTACTTAGGTAGCTAGATATGGAATTTCCAAGCGTATATGTAGTGTAGGACCTGGTTCTGTAGTAAATGGTTGACTGTAGAGGATAAAAGAGTCATACTGCAATCCATGTTGAGATTATTGTGAAGTAACCCGGCTAAAGTGGTGAAAAATCGAGTTATAACAAATCCAACAGGGGGTATATAGATCTGATCCACAGTGAGATGTTCTTTGTTGAATGTTAGGGCTCCGTATGATTATTGTTCCGGTATATCTACATGTATCTATCTTCTCTAATCTTGAAGCATCTCGCAAGTTTGATCAACTAGGGAATTTGTGCCATGGTATATACAACTCAAAGCTAATCCTCAAAATTCTTTTGAATTGTCCAGGGCATTGAGAAGTAAAGTACAAATTCGACATGTTTAGGGGAGCAAAATGAGCAAATCACGGCATACCTTACTACTCAAGTTAGCTTTTTCACCATATCAGACCACGAAAGTGTAAATTAGATGAGTAAATCCAGTTTATAACATGCATCGTCACAATGTTTAGACGAAAGATGCGGCTAGTTGATACTAAAAAGCTCCGTGATGTTTTGAAGTAAGAGCTAAGGATACACAAGCAGAATTCACACGTATAAGATCAGTTGAAAGCACATTGTACATATGTACGTACATGTAACTAGTTATGTAGTTTAGACATACAATAATGTAGTCCATATTGTACTAGAGGGTGGACAGATTTGATTGGCCAGACCTCCTTACCGAACTAAACCTAAAGGGGACGAAAGTGGACAACGCGTTTAACGCGATTTCTCCTGCGCCGTTGCATGTTCTGCCAGGTCACATCTCTCGCACCCCCAATGAGCGATAGCGATTCAGACTCTTCGCCTCAGAGGCGCAGTGCCCGCGAGCGCGCCCAATGGATGACCAAGGGAGCTCTTGTTCGAGACGATTCCGATGATGAACTAGGCGTCGAGGACCTTCCGTGGGACTGGATTTACGACACAAATGAAGAGACTACCCAGGAACCCGAGACCAAGGATGATACCCCGGCGAAACGAAGCCGACGACGGTCTGCTCGTCCCGCCCGTCAAAAACGCAAAATCGTTGGCGCGAGGATGGGTCAATTCCAATGCAAAGTGGGCGATGTGATACTCTTAAAGTCCCCTGAAGCTGGAAAGGACTGGGTTGGCATCATCACAGAATTTTTGGAAGAGGACGATGAAAATGAGGAAGATGAGATTGTCAAATCTGCCAATATTATGTGGTTCGCATCTCCCGACGAATTCATGAGCACGAGGAACAAACGCCGGACCGACGCCTTGCCCAACGAACAGTACATCACACTTGATTTCAACAGTAACCCCTTGACATCAATCAGCGGCAAAGGGGCGGTCATGTCTCGGAGCGCTTTCAGTGCCAAATACCCGAATGGCCCTCCGAAGAGCAAGACCGAATTGGCGGAATACAACAAGTGCATTGTTTGTCGACGAGGCGTGAACCAGGTTCAAGGACGGTACACCGATGAGTTTATCTGGGAGCAGGTGTACAACGAAGACAACATTCAACATCTGATCAATTGGGTCAGGGATGGCTTGAAGGCTTCCAGGAAACGCAAGGCTGCGGACGATGAAGTGAGTCAACTCACATGGCTTCAGTTGCAAAAGCAGTGCTGACTTGAGCTATCGCAGTATGTTGAAACCAAAGAGACCACGGCACCTACGACTCCGCGAAAGAGGCAGCGACTAGCAGCAACCAATGCGACTCCGCAATCACAGCGCAAGAAGGCACTCATGACCCCGACCCATAAACGGTAAGAAACAGCGAAGACAAATATTCTTCATGAAATAATACTAACGTGTATCAGGATCGTTGTGAAAAAGCCACTTGAGTTTACTCCGCTGGGTACTCGTGTCCTCTCGCCGACGCATTTCGACTCTCCCTACCGTCAAGCTCGGAATTTGCTGCACGTCTCCACTGTCCCAGACTCGTTACCGTGCCGAAAGACCGAGTTCAACACCGTATACAACCATCTTAGCGCTGCGATCATGGAAGGCACAGGCGCTTGTATCTATATCTCCGGTACCCCAGGCACTGGCAAAACTGCCACAGTGCGCGAGGTGGTTGCACAGCTAAACGGTGCCGTGCATGAAGAAGAGATGGATGATTTCATCTTTGTCGAGATTAACGGCATGAAAGTCACCGATCCGCATCAATCCTACTCCTTGCTATGGGAAGCCTTGAAGGGCGACCGAGTATCACCTTCCCATGCATTGGATCTTCTCGAAAGAGAATTCTCAAACCCCTCCCCTCGTCGGGTCTCTTGTGTTGTCCTCATGGATGAGTTGGATCAGCTTGTCACAAAGAATCAGTCTGTCATGTATAACTTCTTCAACTGGCCTGCTCTCCGCCACTCGCGCCTCATTGTCCTAGCTGTCGCAAACACCATGGATCTCCCCGAAAGAACACTAAGCAACAAGATCTCCAGTCGTCTCGGTTTAACCCGTATCACATTCCCAGGATACCGTCACACGGATCTAATGGAAATTATCAGTACCCGCCTGGCCAGTGTACCGGGCAATATCGTTGACCCAGACGCGGTCCAATTCGCGAGTCGCAAAGTAGCCGCCGTGAGCGGCGATGCTCGACGAGCTTTGGATATCTGCCGTCGAGCCGTCGAAATCGCCGAGCAAGCAGCTGATGAGGCTGCTGCCGCAGATGAGGCCAAAGACGAGACAGAATCATTGCCTCCCACGCCCAGCAAAACTCCCGCCCGGCGCAACAAGGCTATCGCAGCCAAAGCAGCAGGAGAGTCAGCCGTCGCTAAACCTCCTGCAAAGGGCCAACCGGGGCGCGTCACTATCGCCACTATTAAGCAAGCCATCCATGAAGCTACATCAACTCCACTCCAGCAATCCTTGCGCTGTCTGCCACTATCAGGAAAGCTCTTCCTCGCCGCCCTACTAGCCCGAGTCCACCGAACAGGTATTTCAGAATCCACGTTCGGCGATGTCCTCGACGAAGCCCGCCGCATCGCTGATGCAGCTGTCGCCGTTGCCGGAGCAGCTGGCGCTGGCGTAAAAGATTTCTTGCTGGGCGGAGGCCCCAGTGCTCGTGTGCGGAGCCTGGGTCATGCAGCCATGTCACTCATGAACTCGGGTATCCTGGCGCTGGAGCAAGGCTCTGGCTCCAAAAGTGTGCTCGGGGGTACTACCATCCCTACTCGCGGCGATCGCAGTAGTAAAGTTCGGCTCAGGGTTGCGGCCGAAGATGTCAGGTCCGCTTTCAGGGAGGATGCCGAGGCTAAAGGCTTTGGTTTGGGTATTGAGCAGTGAGTGTGGGGGTTTTTCTTTGGGTGTTTTCATACGATACGCATTATCTGGAGTTAGTGTAATATCGCACAATAGTTTGCATACGATACCCTTTCAGCCATGCTGTGTCTTGCACTCTAGATCGTAGGGGCTACTTGTACGTGTTCTCCATTGTCGGTTGCCAAGGGTATCATTTGGCTCAATTGGGGTTTGTATCATACAAAACGTTAAGGCTCTATTTTCTAGAGACATGAAGCGAACCTTTCCGAGGAAATTTTTCCCGATACATGTTTGAATATTTTAAAATCAAGGGCCTTCCACGGACCGCGCTTAACTCCACATAGTGCCAACAAGGACTTGATGGCAAGAAAGAAAATGAATACAGGGTATTGAGAAACCGGAACAGAGTGTACGAATGCCAGTGATCTTGGTCATCCCTCTAGTACCGCTGTCTACCGAGAGTCGGGGCCCAAGTCAGAGGGTGAGTCTCGGGGGTAGCCTCTTCGTCCTGCTTCCAGATCTTGATGGTCTTATCAGCTTCGCCCGTGATAAGACGCAAACCGGTACGATCAAAGGTAGAAGCCATGATACCAGCTTCGGCTTCGAGAGAGCCAGGCTGTGCGGTGGTTTCCATAGATTGGAAGCGGTGGCCAGTCTTCCAGTCCCAGAAGGACATAGAACCGTCGTCACCGCCGGAGAAGAGAACGTTCTCGTCGTTGACGGCGAGAGAGTTGATGACAGAGTTCTGACCGTCGAAGTTTTGCATGAAATCACCCTTGGGGCACATCCACTGCTTGATGCTGCCGGTACTAGCACTAGCAAATGTGAACTCGGAGGGGTGAATGGCGAGGTTGCGAACACCCTTCTTGTGGTGTGTTAGGACACCCATGCTCTTACCAGCGGCCAAATCCCACAGCCGGACTGTGGAGTCCAGCGAGCCGGAAATAATCTGAGGGTCGGCGTCTTGGCACTTGATGTCGGCGACGGTGCCCTTGTGTCCACCGAGAACGTGTACATTGCTTCGCGTCCGCATATCCCAGACTCGACACACGCCGTCACGACCACCCGTGACTAACAGATCGAGACGAGGGTGAAGGGCTAGTGTGTACACACCGCTGAGGTGACCGTGATAGTGTCGAATGACCTTGTTGGTCTCCAGATCCCAACATTTGACCATCTTATCCTCACCGCACGAGAAAAGGTACGGATGACGGGGTGAGACTGCTAAGCCACGGACGGTGGAGATGTGACCGGTGAGAGTGAGTCGCAATGCGCCCGTCGCCAAATTCCAAATCTTGATTGTCCGATCTCCTGCTCCACTAGCAAACCACTGGTTGTTCGGTTCCACTGCCAAAGCTCGCACCCATCCCAGGTGTCCCGAAATAACGCGCATCAGCTTCCAAGGCGCGTGCCACTCCGGCCGCTGTTGCTTGGTAGCCGACGGTCTCTGGATCAAACTCGTAGGCTGCTCCCCAGCAGCCGCCGCTCCCGCTCCCGTGCCCGATGGCCGTCTCACAAGTGACATGGATGAGCCACTGCCGTCTGCGGGGGTCTGCGCCTGAATCTTCGGCCGTTTTGTCCGGCCGGCTGTAGCCTTCGCCTGTTTCTCTGCAAGAGCTCGTGGTAGCTCAGTAATGTCTTCGTACTCCGCCTTCCGTCGGTAGGAAACGCCAATTGAGCCGTCTGTAAGAGTTGAAGGTGTGACCATCAGGTATTCGGCACCGAAAAGTTCGGCGGTCCGCTTTGCGGACATGCGCACGGCGTCATCGGCGGAATGGGGTGAGCTGTAATCCATTTTGTGTGCGAAATGAATAGATGTGGGAAATAGGACAAATTGGTGTGCTTTGAAGGACAAGAGCTCCAAAGAATCCGGGTCTGATGGTGCGCGCGATGAAAAAAACCTGCGGCGGGTTCTTGACTGCAATCGAGTCCGGAGGCTCGGTTTAGGCGCCGATTTTAGAAGCGCTGTTGATTGAAGACTGACGCTGCGTCTCTAGCAGCTGCGAGGCAAGATATGGTTGAAGATGGTATTAGGGCGTGCATGAATCTTTGGATCGAAGTTGCAACGGGTGTTGATGCCTGAGGCGCCATAATTGACCAACATTATACTCGGTCCAAAAAGGGCGGTGAGATTGGAGGGCGCTCAATCTTGCTGACTCAGCCGCCCGGCTCCAGGGCTTATCGCAGCTCTTATCGCAACGTCACTCTTCCTCCTCCATAGCCACCATGGATTCTGATCAGAAGTTCGCCCTGCACGAGGCTGCCCGAGAGGGAAGAAGTGAGGGCTTGACCCTTCTCTGTATAATACAACATACTAATATATCCCCTTAGACGAGGTTGTTGAGTCGTTGCTCAATGTGAGTTGTGCTCCACCTGGGGCCGAGGCTGCCCCGCAAGATCAAGCTGGCGCTGGTACTGTTCTGTCTCCAAGAACAAGGCTAATTTTCGAAACAGGCAAACCCAAAATCTGCATTTGTGAAAGATGATGATGAGCGTCTTCCAATCCATTGGGCTGCGGCCTACAACCGAGTGCCGGTCGTGGAATTGCTAGTCGCTATGAAGGATTTCGACCCCGATGTAGAAGTGAGTACCATTTTCGAAGAGAATTTTCCCTACCTTTTCAATATTGACTAGGTTTATTATATTACCTTACTAAATCAGCTTAGGATGGGTCCGGTTGGACACCTCTTATGATTGCAGCTAGCCTAAAAGATGCCGCTGGCGACGCAACGATCGACCTATTACTACGAAAAGGAGCTGATGTCTCTATCAAAAGCAACACTGGACAGGTCAGCCTTCCAAGCCAACGATTCAGTTATTGGTTGTACATGGACTTACTATCTAGTAGAATGCGCTGCACTTCGCAAGTTCCAAGGCTAATATTTCCACTGTCCGCACCTTGCTTGCCAATAAATGTAGCGCCAGAGTGAAGGATAAACGTGGCCAACTTCCACTGCACAGAGCAGCGGCAGTGGGATCTGTGCCTATTTTGAAAACTCTCATAGAAGAGGGTAAGAGCCCTGTCAACGCAACGGATGGGGACGGATTCACAGCACTTCACCACGCTATCTCTGAAGGACATGGACCTGCCGCAATTTTATTGTTGAAATCTGGAGCAGAAGCGGAAAAGAGAGATAGTGACGGCAGACTGGCGATTGAGCTAGTCCCAGATGACAAGGTAAGCCCCTCGCCAGAATTGGGTATCCACTTGGATCAGAATGACTAATTTTCATCTTGTGTTCATCCAGGTCAAACAATACATCTTGCAGACAGCAGAAAGAGAAGGAATTGAGCTTCCGTGATTATTCTAAAGAATCTTCAGGGCTAGCACCAGAGAATTAGGTAGCTTGCAAAACTCAGACTAAAGCGAGGATGTTACATGCCTCGGTATGTACAGCTTCCCCGCATCTCACCAAACTTCCAAACCTGTATGATAATTTTGAAATATTGATTTCAGCTTTCAATGAGCAGCTCAAGCTTTATATGTCTTCCAAATCTTCCAAATTTGCCAAATACTCTTCTTTGCTCGCTGTCAAAATACCAGAGCATAGAGTAACCGTGGGTGATTGCCTGCAGCTCGTGCATGCTCTGTGATAGCACTTGCATAAAACATGCATTGGCCAAGAATTATCGGCCTCGGTAACCCTGGTGGTTGAATGAGAAGTACTGCTATTCTCCGGCAAGCTTGCGGGGAAGTTTTAGTTATATTCTGGGCTGCCGCCCATGATTTACTTGTCAACTCTCGAATCGTGAATATCAATCTCATTTAGAATGTTGGCATCAAGTAACACACGTCTCCCTGTTGGGAACAAAGACTTTACTAATGCGACTGTTGTCATTATTGGCGCCGGCATATCAGGTATGTTGACTCCCCCAAGGAAAATAAATCTCACTAATCCTGTCTCGAGGAATGTGCATGGCGATTGACTTGATCAAACGGAATAAAACTGAAAATTTTGTTATTCTCGAGAGAAGTAGTAGTGTGGGTGGAACTTGGAATGACAACAAGTATCCTGGCTGCTGTTGTGACGGTGAGAAATACTCTACAACCGAAATTCCAGCAACTGATGAAGTCTAGTCTGGAGCTCGCTCTATAGCTATTCCTTTGAACAAAATCCTAATTGGTCAAGAGAGTATCCCGGACAAGAAGAAATACATGTCAGTAATATGTGTGACCCTCGACCTGTCTAACTATATACGAGCCATTGCTGATTATTGTGCAATGACCAGGCGTATCTTGTCGGCGTTGCAGAAAAGTACGGGCTCTACAAGCATATTCGATTCAACTCCATGGTGGAGGAGGCCCGATGGGATGAGCTCGAGACTAAGTGGCAGACAAGCGTCGTGGTATCAGGGCAGAAAGACAGCGAGTTTTCAAGCTCCTACATTTTGAATTCCGATTTCCTTGTCTCTGCTGTCGGACAACTCAATCTACCCCGAACCCCTGACATCCCAGGCCTGGGAGATTTCCAGGGGAAAACGATGCACTCTGCTCGGTGGGATTGGAGTTATGATATGACAGGAAAGCGGATCGCAATCATTGGCAACGGTGCGCATTTCTCGAAAAAAAAAAATAATAAATAAAAAAACCATATACGGAATACAAAACTGACTTATTCTACAGGAGCAACTGCTGCTCAAATTGCCCCTGAAGTTGCTCGGGTTGCTTCTCATCTCACTATCTATCAACGGACGCCGAATTGGGTCATTCCTCGCCTAGATCAACCAGTATCCACCCTTCAAAAGACCCTGTTCAAATGGGTTCCACCCCTCCACTGGCGCAAACGTGCGCTTCAAATGGAGTTCCGTGAAGCCTTTTACACAGCTATCGCAGATGGAGATTCAGACCTTTCCCATGTGATTCGGGCCTCGTGCACCTCTGCGATGAAATCCCAACTGCCTAACCGACCAGAGCTATGGGATGAGCTGACACCCAATTATGCGCCGGGATGCAAGCGAGTTATTATTACAGATGATTACTATCCGACTCTTGCCCGTGAGAACGTCCACCTAGAGACACGGGGCATCACAGGTATTACGGAATCCGGTATCGAAGTCGATGGAGACGAACAAGAACACGACCTCATCGTTCTTGCTACTGGATTTAGAACTGTCGAGTTCATGAATCCCATCCGAATTTATGGCGCAAATGGCCGGTCCTTGGAGGATATCTGGAGAAATGGAGCAACCGCATTGAACGGTGTTGTAGTCGAGGATTTGCCCAACTTTGGGATGTTCTATGGTCCCAACACCAACCTCGGTGAGAGATGTTCTATTTCCAAATACCAACATGGCTTCAATTATTCTAACTAATCAAAAGGGCACAACTCCATCATCCTCATGATTGAGGCACAATCGCGATATCTTAACACCCTAGTTAGGGAAGTGATGCAAGCCCGCCAACAGGGAAAGTCTCTGGCTCTCAAGCCAGAGCCGGGTGCGTTGAAAAGCTACAACGATAGGATCCAGGCCATTCTACGGCGTACCAGCTTCGCGGATCCGAATTGCAACAGTTGGTATAAAAGAGATGACGGGGCCATCACCAATAATTGGTCTGGGACTGTGCTTGATTATCAACGTGAGCTTTCAAAGGTTCAGTGGCAGGACTACATTGCCGAGGGAACTGGTAAAGACCGCGTCGTGAGCAAGACTATTACAAAAGTGAGCCATGCTCAGGAAGAGATCTTGTTGAGTAATTTTTCTTTACTTGTTAGTGCTATTGGTGTTTTGTCGGTGACAGGTTATTTTGTGGCTTCATCGAGGCGGCTCAAGGCACGCTGAGACAATTTTGAGATATCACTCTAAACCCCTGTTTCTATTCTGCAGTCGAATCAAATGTCCATATTTGTAGAAAACAAACGGAACAGGTGTCATCAAGGCGGAGACACACCCTAATAACGTGAGAGGCCAATGGATACCCAAATTGCTGTACATTGGGATTGACACGATGACCATAGCACCAGCGGCGATATGGCGGAAGAAATTGGCGCTCACCAGCGGACTAGCCGCGAAAAACTCATACGTGTCTATGAGATGCTGGTATGTACAAATAAATATTCCCTGAACAGAGAATCCAAAGGCCACCGAAGCTATCAAAGGCAACCAGCAAGAAACCGAGTGATAGCTAGTCCGACCCATCCAGAATAGTGGGAACCATTTACGGTCTTGTGATATCTTTTTAGATGTATTTTTAGCTAATCTGTTTAAGATGGTCGTTCTAGAGGTCTCTTCGGATATATGTAAAAAAAAGCATACTTTGCACAAGGGACCTTTTTATATATAACCTGTAATCTCTTGCAATTTGTACCTAATTTAAGGTTATCAGAATATTTAAGACACGAGCATATTAGAACACATTAGAAATGTTAAGTCTACTCCGTAAGCGTTTCTTTATTACTGTAGAGGTACATTTCCAAGCTTCAGATCCCTGTAATGGGGGCCATCAGCATGGCCCCGATCCGTATCGAACAGCCCGGAGAGAAGCAGTCTTGAGCCTCATCTCCTCTCGGCCCCAAGACTAGCCCCGCCCCGTTTTCATTTTGAGGGTATTTATTCTCCCTTGATTGCCCGACTTTGTGTTCGACTCCAAATCGTACCACTTTGGAATTACGCAGGGCCTACGACATGCGTTTCGATCACTATGCTATAGCCCTCGCCGGGTTGTGTGGCACAGGATTTTGCCTCGAGTCTAGATTCCATCCGACCACCCGACCTACCGAGGGTGAAACCATTCATACCGGCGCCATCTACACCATCGAGTGGAATTTGTCAAACCTGGCCACTCGGGTCCGATCAATATTTTGTTGGAAAGGGGCGAAGTATCCGACATCGCAGGATATGTAGAGGCGATTAGCAGCAAGTACAATATAGTATTCGCTCATTCCATTTAGCATTGTGTCAAAAACACCCAAACTAATATCTTCATAGCCGACACTAAGAGCAGCGACGGAAAATTCTATTGGAATGTTCGCAGCACTCTTCCAAGCAGTGACGATTACTAAATCAAAATGTACTCGATTAAAGATGCTGCGACCTACAACGAGTCCCCGAAATTTAATATCAAACCCTCAAATGAGTCAACAAACGTGTCTAGCTCTTCGAAAACGCCGATAACAACAAAGTCCGGCACTATTTCTCCTACAGGGTCTGCCATCATTACTTCCACTGGCTCAACCGGCACATCTTCTCAGAGTGAATCCACAGCTACTTCAACATCAAGCGGAGCCGGTAGCGCGGCGACTCCTATTTTAGCTTATCCATTTGCATTTGTGGGCGCTGCAGCTGCTGGTATGCTGGCCTTTTAAGCCGAGAGTGAGGGTATTCAACAAAAGAAGTTTAGAGTTTTGAGTTGTGAGGAATGTATTTGAGCATGGGGAAAAGCAAGCATGATTTTTCTAGTTTTCGGCACCCCTAGGGAATTGGTCTTTTTTTTGGTGCTCTGCATCATAATTGAGTTACTTGAGCTCCGTGCGATGAGAAAGATTTGATGATGGCGCATGAGATAGGTACCTAAAGATCTCATCCCAGCAACAACGGTGTCCCGAAGGAAGTTTGGCGAACTTGGCCTGGACATGTCAAACACAGATTTTTCCAAGATTAAAAAGGAGTCTTGAGTTATAAAGGGATAAACGGGCAAAATGTACTTTGTAGGCCAGAAAGAGTCGTAAAGCAATAAAATGTGGAAAGGGGGAGAAAGCATTATCCATAATGTCAACTTTCTGGATTTTTTAAAGAATGTAGGGCCGCATATTTGAGTGCCCAGTTTTTTCTTGTTTCTTGACACTCTCATACATAGAAGCACGTACTGGTGGGTCAGATTAAGCAGATATAAACGATGCCCTCCTTGCTTGACACGGATCCATCCTTGTTGGTCATAACCAGCTAACGACGTCATATATCAATATTTCAATGCTTCTTCTGATAATTCACAAAATTCTTTTTCGATTTTCACCACCCTATTTCTGACCTGTGTTGAGCTTCTTTATCTACCGAGCTAGATCTTCACCTTTAAAATCAACAGCATGGCCTCTTCAGCGCCATTCGCGAAACGGTCCCTCTCTGAGCAAGGACCTCCGGGCGATGATCCGCTAAGCTCGCCCGTGAAACGGCGCCGGGTCAATTCCGCCGAGGATATGCCCATTGAGACAAATATCATGCCAGAAGGCCTCGGAGACCTCATACCCCGAACGATATCAGAAACAGAGGCCTCGATCGAACGTGCCTCTAGCTTAAGAAGTTCATTCAGGGATGACAACTTGACAATAGAATGCAATTGCTCACCATTGCGCGGTCGATCCGACTATCGTGTCTGGCGCCACAAAATGAGCCTAATTCTGAGTCGCAATCTACTTTTGGATTTGGTTGAGGGCAAAATCGGTCAACTTCCTCGATCACATTACTTGGAAAGGCAATTAGACAACCTGAACGAGGTGGCCAGGGAAATCATTAATACAAACCTTTCTCCCACTACCAGGCTGATTGTTCGCAACATTCGAAACCCACAGAAGATGTGGGAGAAGCTGGAAAAACACTGCAAACCTTCTGATTGGAGTACGGTGCGATCTGGCTGGCTTGAGTTGCAGAATATCAAATACAGCCAATGTTATGATATCTGGGAGTACGTGCATAAGGTTGACGATGCATGGAGATGCATCTGCCTTGACCGGGAAGATATTCTTGAAAAACACGAATTTGCGCGTTGTGCTAGCCTCATGTGCTCCTTGGATACACCCAAGTGGGAAACTTGGAAGATGGGGTTTCTCTCTAGCCGCAATATTAATATGCCGAGCTGGGCAGGCTTGGTGGAGAGCTTGACCTCAGCTGAGGACAATGGCATTGTGTCTGATTTGATTGGCATTGCAATCTGATTTGTATCTGCGCCGTTATATGATAATGTGCAAGGTGTTTTGCCTTTCAGTTATTTTACTATAGCGTCACCTGGAAATCAACTACCATCTTGTTCTCAGCGCACTCGCGAAACATATTGTCCTTGATTGGATAAGAAACAACCAAATTGTGTTTAACAGTGACTAAAACGAAAGTGGGCACCAATGGAGCGAGTTGATCGTATCTGATCGTCGATTGGCACTTAGATGAGCTTTATAGTGAGTCGAGGGCCATATTCAAGCAGCATCTGCGCGATATGCGAGTGATTATAAGCAAGGTCGCACAGGTAATGGAATGCTACTCGCGGGAAATTTGACAAGTGTCTCCACGTCGCTGACCGTGCGTTATGCGGGTGATGGGGTCTTAGAACATCAAGCTTTCAATCATGGGATTAAGAGCATAGACAGACCAGAAAGGTATACATAATATTTTGGGCTATGCAATTGTTCAACTGACGGGCCCCGAGGTTAGCTTGGTAATTGACTCTTCCCCTTCTCACATCTCTCTCATTTCTGTATATCGCAAATCTAAAATCGTATCGATCAAGTCGGAGGGCTGCTCAAAGAAATCAAACATCACGATCCCCACTCGCTTGCCTTTCTGTCTTTTCAGGAAAGGCACTAGCTGTTGGTTTACCCCACCAGCCGGTGTATAGCCAGTGCCGTTTCCTAGTGCCATAATTCGAGGCCAATCAGGAGGGTTGTTTTCTATATTATTACTAGACGCCCAGGTCCAGAAGAGACTGTCCGGGTGATGGCTAGTGGCTTTGCGGATGTTTTCCACCGTGGCGTTGTATTTCCACCTGATGTTCTCGATCGCACTAGACCCCGTCGGCGTGAGCGGCTGATAGTAGTCTTCTATGTAGGCGCTCAAGTTCTTAGCCGTGTTGTATTCCAGAGCGATATCCGGGCCGTTGTCGGTCCATAGACTGGGCGAGAAGTGCAGGCCGGGAAGTGAGGCCGTGTAAGAGTCTGGAAGCTTGTCCAGATCAAAACGGCGCATGAGAGTAATCTTGCCACGCGAGTCACCCAGCGTGCCTAGCTCGTCTTTTGTTTGCATGAAATAATGGCGCGCGGCCGGGGAGGTGAGGATATCGTAGAGCTGCAGCTGCACGGCCGCGTTGTTGGAGGCGTACAGGGCCGTCGAGCCTTGATATTGGAATGAAAGGAAAATGGTCTCCGAGGGGTGATCATCTAGCCATTGATAAAATCCAAATAGCACATCATTGACTGTGGCTGTCTGCGAGAGCAGGGCCTGTGAATGGTAGAAGATGAGGGTGGAGTTGGTCGGATCGAAAGCATATCGTAGATCAAAGGCCCGGATTCCCATGTCGAGCATATCAATGAAAGGTGAGTCTTGGCACCGCAATGCGTCTGGTACCGGAACAACGACCTGGTTGAGGTCTGTGATGCCCCGCAGGGCATCTTGTGTCGCTTGGGTGTAATTCCATGTGGCGCTGTCATGAGTGCCGGGGATGTTCATATGAACGAGTAAGGTTTCATCGGGATAGCTTTTCATCCATTCCGCTTTTCCCCCTGTACTTTTTTTGTATGAACCAAATATTGGAGTGGCATTGTCAAGTACTGTCTGAAGTGCGAAATTCGCTAAGCCGGCAGACGCCAGGGGAAGGGCCATAGCCACAACAACTGAAGTCCAGATCATCGTGGAAGTACTGAGAGTTCAGTCAACAGATAATCAAATATCTAGCCCAAACTTGAGAACTTTTGGACTATGCACAGAGTATGGTTATATATAGCGCTGAAAGGAGCTTAATCAATATTATGCAGGGGGTGTCGATGCCAAGACCCAAGATGCAGTTGCCGGAAACATCGGGGAACAGTGGACGTTCCGTGTCGATCACCTCAACTACAACATAAACCCCATTCGATGCTGAGAATAGTCGCTTAGCCCATCGGCTATATTATGTAGAGCCACATGGCTGGCACTCCCCAGGTTGGCTTGACGACGCCACGTGCACCGATTGCCAGGTCGCGACTGGTGCGACTGCGGTGGAGCTTCATTTTGTTTCTCGTCTTGGGTTTGTTGGCAATTAGTTCGGAAATTTACATATTCGAAGGTCTCCGACAGACCTGGTTTTTCTCACTCAAACCTATCTCCGTCATGCGCAGCCTCGTCTTGCTTTCTGTGGCAGCCTCAGTGCTAGGTCAAACCCCCGGGGACACCTTCTATCCCCCAACGCTGAACGATACCTCATACATCAGCAATAGCTCGATTGGAACATATGGTGGTATCTATGAAGCTCCAGCCCATGGTCCGACCGGGGGCAGCCCCTACGGCACCTATGACTATTGTTCCATGCCGCATCCTCGTTCAGAGGAATACGAGCTGCCCGAAGCTCTAACCAATGGGTCAACGAAGGGAAAGCTTGTGTACCTGGAGTATCTACAGCGTCACCAGCGGCGAACTCCGTACAACATTCTCCCAGGTGGGGAGGTAAGCAACTCTCAGATCGACTCTCAGCCCAAATTAACTCCTTTCCCTAGAACCAAGCATATCAATGCGATGATGTGCGCCCGTATCTCTATGCAGGCCCAAACAGCGCAAGCGGCATCCAGCCCATGCCAATGTATGCACAGACATATCAAGACCCCAACAACCCCTTCATATCCGGCGTGAATGGCACATGTCAGTATCCCCAGATCACCATCGGAGGAGTCCAAGACGGATATCAACATGGCAAGGACCTGTGGGGCGTCTATGGCAAGAAGCTTGGCCTGATCCCCGCGAAGCCAAACAGCCGCGTCTGGTTCCGCTCCAGCGAGTCCCCTCTCACTCAGGCCTCGGCTGGCGCGGTCCTGCGCGGCATGTGGCCTCATTACAAGGGAGCTCTTCCCCTGCACCAGATGGCTTCGTCTGTTGATACTGTCAACGAGGGATACTCTTGCCCTGCTATCAGCTCTACTCTATCGAATTTGCAGTCTACCACGCAGTGGAAAGAGCATATAACTGTTACCGAGGAGTTGCGCTCCAAGCTGGGCACCATGTTGGGCGCGACAGAGAGTTCATGGCAGACTACCTTTGACCACTTTTCGGATAACTTCCAGGGCCGCCTTTGCAACGGTTATGATCTGCCCTGCAGTCTGTCAAATTCCTCGGCCTGTGTCACGATGCAGATGGCTGAGGAGGTCTTCCGTGCTGGTGATTGGGAGTGGAACTACTACTGGCGCACGAACCCGGATGTAGTCAAATATATTCAGGTTGTCGAGGGCTTGTTTATTGGCGAGATCATTTCTCGTCTGCAGGCTGTCGTAGACGGAAATTCTTCCCTTGATTACAGCCACATCTTTATTCATGATGGAGATATCGGTCCTATCCTAGGTTCTTTGGGGATCGAGACGCTTCGTTGGCCCGCTATGGCATCTAACATTGCTTTTGAAGTTTGGTAAGTCAATCTGTTTTCTGATACGCTAGGATTCTCTAACCGTTTTCTTTCTTTTTTTTTCAGGGAGACGAAAGACAAGAAGGATGGGAACTCCTTCTACGCCCGTGTTTTGTATAGTGGCCATCCCATACGAAGCATCCACGGTCTTCTTGACTGGGTCCCTCTCTCAAAGCTGATTGATATCATGAGCCCCTATGTCCCTGGGGATATAACTACTCTCTGTGGATAGAAATAAATTAAAGACCGGCAAATTATCATCTCAACGGATCTTTTTAAAATACTTGTTTCAAAATAACACATTTCTTAGATTTCTTCCTATGCCCACCAATCTACACTACCACTTAATCCCAACCAACAGAAGGAACGACAAATTAACTGGGGCAGAGTGTTGGGAATCCTATCCCATATTTCAAACATAGTTTCGCTTATTCTCCGATGTAAATTACCACATAATATTGGTAAACATCCCACGTGCAAGTAGCACTGGCGTTTCAAGTGCCGTCTAGGACTAGCGCTCGGCTACATATTGCAAGCCACCAGGCACACACATAGGAACCTACAACAATGAAGATGACCCGTAATTGCAAGCCTGGTACTCTTCTAATCCGGATCAAATTTCCTCATCTTTTCACATAGGGTCCAGAAGAGGCTCAAAGGATGTGGCCACTTCCCTTCCCATCTTTTCAAGCAGTAACTCAGAAAAGTACAAGTATTTCAAAAGATAAAGAGCTGTCAGAGTATTATGTATTAACTTTCGCATTATTCATAATTTGTAGGATGTTCGCTAAATATAGCGTCCTCTTTTATCTACTCGACTTGCTCGAGATATTCCGTATATCGCCATCGACAAATATCCCGCAACAACTTGTCGTTAAAAATCGTAAATAGGCAATCAAAAGAAAAACTTATTCCACGGCCTCCGAGATAGCAAACTTGCTCAAAGCACGAAGCCTGCTACCATAGAAGTAAAGCAACCAGATACCAACAATTCCGATAACACTCAGTCCACCAAGCAGACTGACACCTCGAGCAACACCCAAGTTCCCAAACAGAGGGTGCGCAAACAGCACACTGCCACATGCAAGCGCACTGCGGAAGAAATCATTCGCAGCGAACAGACTAGCCGCGTATTTGGGGTATGTGATGGGAATATAGATGAAGATGCACTGCATGACGATGAAAACCGTGGCGCCATAGATGGTGATACCAATAGTCGGTACAATCCAATGAATAGAAGCACGAGCCGTCCAGGCAAAGACGAAAAGACCAATCATAGGACCAAAAGAGGCAGGCAGGGCAGGGAGAAGGAAAGCCTCATTTACGGGGAAGCCGAAGCGACGGATACGACGGTTCATCCAGAAGTGGATGTAGCTGGCGTAGATCGCAATGCCGACAATGCATGAAACCATGATACACAGGAAGACTAGACCGATCTGGCCGAGGTTCATGTTGTAGTCGGTTGGGTAGACCAGGGGGAAGACCTCGAAGAAGGAGTAATAGATGCCATAGATGATGGCTGTGTAGATCTGGACGAAGAGGACTGCGGGATCCTTGATGGTGATTTCCATGGGCTTGATCAGAGCATCGATGGCAATGTCTGAGATATGCATGTTGCGCTGGTTGATCTCGGATTGTGCCATGAAACGGTTGGTATTGTGGATTTTGCGTAGGCGGTCGGCGCGTCGGAGCAGGATTGTTGCGCTGCTGGTTTCAGGAAGAAACATGAACATCAGGATGAAAACTGGGGCGGAGGCCCAGATTGATTCAAAGAGGGACCAGCGCCAGCCTTTGACGGGAACGGCGAAGCCGCTGAGGAGAGGGCCAAGAGCGGCTGTATAGACTTGTTAGTGAACTGACAGATAGTGGGTATAAATGAAGTGGGAAGAAAACTTACGTCCACAATAGGCCGCAGAAACCCAAGCCATCATGGCATAAGGTAGGGACATCAGGCTATACATGTCTCCGATGGAAGCACCTCCAGATGCAAGACAGGGGGAGCCAAAGAACCCTTGCAGAAAGCGCAGCACCATCAGGCCGGGGAAGTTACCCACCAAGGCTGTCGGGATAGAGATGATCACGAAGAGGAACATAGTGACAATGTAGACTGGATTGCGTCCAATCACGGGGATTTCACTCAATGGAGAGAAGACCAATGGCCCGATACCATACCCCAGAACATAGAGCGACAACCCCAAAGTAGCGATCAAGGTGCTTACACCGAATTCCTTCATTATGCCCTCCGTTGAGGAGGTGTAGATCGCAGAAGTGGTATACACGACGAAGGTATATAGACAGATCATGATAGTGGTGAGAGCGCGCTTGCGATTGGACCAATTGTGTGGATTCTCCGAATCATCGGTATAATACCAATCCACGAGGATGGAACCGTCTTTTGTTTTCTTGGGGGCGATGGGGATGGATTTGACTTTCTCGATTTCATGTTGTTCATCAGCTTCGAGGCGAGCTTCGGTGAATTGCATGGTTGATTGGGTAGAGGCCCGGCTTAGGGGCTCACTATGCTCATGGCTTCGAGTGGAATCTTGTTGGATGATTTTCTTTTCATTGCTTTCATCGCTAGAATTCAACAATTGAAGCCATGTGTCGGGAAGCTTGAAGTCGGGCTTTTCTTCGGGGTATTGGAAGTATTTATTGTTTGTCAAAAGACGAACAATCTGCCCAAAAGGGGCATCTCGAATGACTGATTGCATTGGATAAAGACAAGAAGAACACCGTTGGGTGTTATATTTGATGAGATATACTATTAAATCAAACTTGGGTTGAGATGTAGAATATGACAGAGACTATATACTTCGCAGGCAATACTCTAGGGATACATTTCGAATCGTTTTAGTAATGAGTAGAATACGAGTATTAGGAATCAACCTGAGGAATCAATATGCCAATACCTTTGATTCCAAAGCAATTGAATTTAATGATCGATAATCAGATATTATAACGATGGATCCATCCATGGATGGTGGATTCAGGATCTGGACCAACCAGAAAGCTCCATCGCAGGATCTCGTATCTGAATTTATATGAATTCACCCGACCCCGACCCGAATAAGGTTACGATATGCTATATGGAGTACTCCGTAAGTTCTAACCCTATAAAGACTGGGAATTAAAAAGCCAAATCTTACATGATGCAAATCAACACATCATTTCTGACTCATCGCGTCATTTGCAAGGTTTTTATATCCGGAGTTTAGCTATCTCCTGCTTACTTTGGGCATCCTTGGCATCTAAAAAGACTCCACGTCAAAAGGGCGCATGGGTGAATCCAAAGAAAAAGGTTGAGATTCAAAAGGAAAAGCTATTTTGTGTACAATTGCCAAAAAAAAAAGTATTTATCACCAGCCACAGTTCCCAAACGCCAGGGCTTAAGTAAATACATATATGCACGCCAAACACCCTGCCAACACCAACTCGTTGACAAAGTTGTAGTGTAAAAATAGAAGATAAGATATACAACTCAAAAGCATGAATCATTGCACGTGAGGCATAACAGGTTCTCGCGGACTGGTCTCCCTAGTAAGGGATGAAATCGAACTGCATCCGTTCTATGAATGAGATGTTAGCATGGACAAAGAAGGACCAAAAAAAAGAATTCTTACCGAGGAAATGGCTCCAGTCTTCTTCCTCACTCAGTTGGTTGGACCAATACTGCTCAAGGAATCTCAATGACTGAAGAACGTTCGGAACGCGAATAGTGTCATGCAAGGACGATAGCAACTGCCTGACTGTATCTCGGTCTTGACCACGCGCCTCGCAGCCTGCAATGAAGATTGGTGTTGTTAACATCACCCAAGGCGAGAGACCTGACGATGGCCCAATCTGCGCGGTGCACTCCAGGATACGCTGGACCGACTGTTGCACTTCTGACGACGTGGTTGGTGTTTTCCGAAGTCGTCGGTGGATCTGAATAAGCGCGCTGTGTTGGAATGCCTCATTACATAACAGGAGCTGCTGCGCGCTCTCTGCAGATAAGCCTTCTGCGGCCCTAGGGTAAAATGAGGGCTGCGAGCTTGAGTCACGATTCATGAGCTGTCGAATTGCAAACTCCAAGGACGCGGCATCATCCTCAATACTGCTGTCAATCTCTCCAGCAACAAAGCCTTGAGTAGCTTTCTCGAGTTCATGGCTTCGCCAGGCGGCAGCACCGATCTGCCTAAAGACAGCTGCAAGGTCCACACTGAACCCCCAATAGTCATCTAAATAATCAGGAGACCCGCCCAACCCCATCAAATCAGAGGAGGCAAAGTCCGAGATATCTCCAATGGGTGGACCATTGCCCGTCAGTGCCGTAAGCGACACGATCGACCAGTACCAACGATCCAAATACCGCCGGAAACCGCTTGTAGACCGCAGGGAATCCTCACCAGCAGCATCCGACGCCCTCATCAGTGCCCTCGCCCCGTCAATATGTGCTCTCCACGAGTTCGGGTTGATCGCCCCGGAATGAATTTCAGCTAGACAAAGGGTCCGAGCCGTCGCTACCAGCGCCTCTGGGTCCTTGGATGAGGGATTCTGCAGCTCTGTTCGGAAATGTTCAAGACTGAGAGCCATTAGCCGGGCAATATCCGGTGCAGATTTTACGCTCTCCGACTGGTTGTGTAGGGCTTGGATATGGATTGCCGATAGGGCCGTGGTAGCGTAGAGTAAGGAGGGAGTCTGAAGAGCCATTGGGATCAACATGCGACATATGTCCTGCTGCATGCCTGAATGGCACGCAGTGATTTGAGAGGCATCGTTGATAAAATGGTGTAATAAGGCCTTTTGGCTGGACGACAAGGACGAGAAAGGATCGACGGGTTGCGACAGTGTGAGATCTGATCCGGTTCTGGCGCTGGCTGACTGCACCGCCGTCTTGGTAGTGTAGATGAATTCTCCTGGTGAATATTCTGGAATGGTCAGAACTATGTACAAGGTCCCTCTGGTATAAAGTACATACCAAGTCTCTGCATGCCTCCTGTCCCGACGCAAGCACCAAACCGGGAGCGCGAGAACGCCCGTCCACCCCACTGCAACTGCATTGCATATTGGCATTGCTCACCTGCAGTCTGGCAGCGACCGCAGTTCGGTCTCTGCTCGTCACATTTTTGTCGGCGTGCCTTACATCTCTTGCAACCTGTGAAGGATCTCGACATGGGTGCTGTGGGTTGGTGGGATGAAGTTCTCGGCGAAGAATTCCTGCGGGGGGATGGAAAGCTCTCCAGACATAACCCGCCCGTGTGGCAAATATTATTTCTGGGGAACAGCAATAAGGGGTTGAAGGTAGATATCTATTATATTGGATTCTATAGAGAGCGATCAAGGGGTGACTTGTGTTCTTGTCTTGTTGCACCGTTGCAAATCTTGGGTTCTTTAGCGGTCGATCGCAAGATCCACCGGTTGGAGTATTGGAATATCAAAATCTAGGGGCCATGAATTTTTTAAATGAGTATGATTCTAAAAATCCCTCCCCAAAAAAAGGAAGCGAGTATGCGCTATGGCAAGAAAATACACAGTACATGCCAGCCAGACTATATGTTCATCCTGGAAAGCCATCAACATATCAAAAAAAGTGCCTTTTAGGGAGATCAGCCCTCAAAGGTATATCGAAGCCATTCACCCACAGCGTGCAAGCTCTCCCATCGCACTGATTCATCTTGATCAACCATCAGTTCCATTACCCGCGTCTTGAGCCCTAGTCGCTCCAACTGCCCACGGCGTTCAGGAACCTCCTTCACTAAATGCCCTACGTCGCTGCAAGCAATAGCCAGCACCTGCTTGTCGTTATCCCAACTCTTAGACAAAATCTCGGCCAGTTTCTTGGGCAAAGCGCCGTTCGACTCCTCAACGATTCGGCGAGCGTTCTCTTTCCAGAAGGTCGGGTTCTTGTGAGGGGGCGACCAGCGCAGGTGGCCTGTCTGAACTTCGGCGGCATATTCGTCAAACGTGGTTTGTGTCTTGGTGTACTCCTCCAACATGGAAGACAGCGCGCTGAGATCCTCGAGCAGGTCTGGGTCAGTCAGGTGACGACCAGCCAAATTGGTCAGGAGGGCAGGGAGTCGAAGGAACACGGCGATTGGTAGCAGAGTCGTCCGGTTGCTAGAGCAAAGACTGTACAGAGTTGCAACAAGCAAGCGAGTGGTCTTTTCTTTCGGCGAGAGACGCAGAAGGTGGATGTAGAGTTGGATGATTTCATAGCTCCTAAGTAGAATTAGTAGGCGCTCAAGTGTAAAGTTATCACTTGTCGTCACATCACTTACTCTTGAAGTTCCTCGCCAACGAGAGCGCCCTCAAACGCAAGCTGCCACAGAACAAGAAGCACCCGGTATAGAAGCTGGAGGCCGACACCACCGGCGAGACCAGGCTCGACGCTGCGAGTGCTGCTTCCCAGTGTGCTTGCGTTGCTGACGTTGTCTTTAGCCCCCGCCGCAGCTCGAAGAGTGTCGATCAAGGGGGCCAAGGTCTCTTGACGTTGGGCCCAAAAGATCTCTCGAGCTCGGCTTGTTCTCAGCAGCTCCGAGAATCCTTGGACACCAATATCCTGGAGCCCGCTGTCCTGGTTCTTAGTTAAGGTGGAGAGGTAGGTGTAGAGCTGCGGGAGAGCCTCGTTGTCGCGCGGCGCGGGCTTAGATGAAGCAACTAGACTGTGCGACACGAGCGCCGTGAGGAAGGTGGACGTGAGCAGAGGAATGGGGTCTTCGGCGTTTGTCGAGTGCTGCAGGAACGGTAGGAAGGGCTTGTACGGTTCTGGGTGGGAAACAAGCGCGTTGGCCAGAGAAGGCACATCTATCAAAAATCCAGATCAGCATAATTCCTCAGACCTTCAGCTTTGCCAATAGGATATACCTTGAATCAAGTCCGAGGCCAGCACCAGTATATACTGCACAATATCGGTCCTTCGAGAGGCCGAGTCCAAGACACTCTTTCCCTGTGCGCCGCCGGCCAACAGATCTGTGTATCCAGCAAGATCCCCTTCTATCGTCTGGCGGCGTTGGTCCTTGCGCACCTTATCCACCGCCTTGATCTTCTTCAAGTGGTCATCGGTGATGTTGCCCGCTCGGACGGCACCCTCCCACGGAATTGGCCGAGCTCGAATGTTATTCTGGAGGGAGCTGAGGTAGGTGGGTGGCTCCAGTGACATTGTGAGTGTAATCTAGGGAGATTCGGAGCCAGAAAAAGGAGCGTCGCTGGCTGTGATTGATACAAACTGGAGGTGTGTCCAGAGAGACGGGGGAGCTTGGGGATGACGGAAGCCTGTGCCAAGACCGACGGTATCTCAAGGCATAGTCTCAACTTTCGTTTTCTGTTCTCTATTTTGATTCTCACTTCCTATTTCTTTATCGTCTTTCTTGTTCCTATAGGTCTTCCCCTGACGATCATTTGCCTCGCGTTCACTGTCTTGTCGGTCCAGCGCCTTAATCTTCGTTCGGGTTCCCACCTAGTACTTTCAACTCGGTTTAAATACTACCAGTCTCTCTCATTTCTCCCTCGCGGAAAGTCTTTGCCATTGCCACCTAGGCTTCGACACATCTAGCAAGAGTTGTTGTCGAATTGACTCCGAAAACGTCCCCCACGATAGTCGCAAGTCGACGTCCGAGCGCAGCCCCCACCGAATCCATGCGAATGCGACACGAGGCATTTGCCGCTTAGTAGCCTGTTTGCGATTTCCAATACAGTAATTCTGCCACAATGGCGCAGAACTCGCAAACACAAAAGCCAAAATGGGGAGTGGGTTCATTTTTCCAGCAAGCTGTAGCCGGCGTCGAGTCTCGGTTGGATCACATCTTGATGGATGAGGAGGTTAACCAGACCAGCTCTGTTGCAAAGCCTACTGAAACTCAGGGCGGAGAAGCACCACCAACAAAGGCTCCTGTTGCTTGTATGGAATCCATAACACATGTGCGACCCAGTAGAACTAGCTAACATCTTTCAGCGGTTTCCCGCAGTTCGTCGACCGCGCGAAGAAATGACCGGCTTCAGGAACGTCTAGCCCGAGCTATGGTGAAACAAAATGCCTCGAATCTCTCTTCCCAGTCTCCTCAGAGCCGAGTCTCGTCACCACCTGCTAGTCCAGTACCTAGCAATGGGGCTCGGTCTAGTATGGACATCGATTCCAGCGTTGCATCGGTGAATAGTGCGGCGGAAGACCCCAAGATCTCTCACCCGAATGACGACAGCAATGCAGCTATATTAGCCTCGCCGAGGATAAGCTACGACTCCGGGGTATCACCGCGTGTTTCAACGGACATCAGCGTCGCAGACTCCATCCCCAGGACCTCTGTAGATGTGGCTCAATCATCAACTGATTCAGCCAAAGCTAGTCAAGAAGTATCGGATTCGCAACGCAATTCGATATTAAGCGACATTGCCAAGGGCGACAGTCCGCGCGTTAGCGTTGAATCGCCATCAGAGGTACCAGAGGAAAATGAAAACTCGGATATCGCTCGCTTGCAGGCTGAGCGTAAAGCTGCCGAGTCTCAATGGCAAGAAGAAATGCATGGCTATATCGAACGTATTGATGCACTGCAATCAAAGTTGAAATACCTCGCTAAGGATGCTGCGGAATCGGCTAAAAATGCTGCGGCAAGTGCTACCCCAGGGAGTGTGCAAAAGCAGCTCCTAGAGAAGGATGAGAAGATCGCATTGCTTCTTGAAGAAGGGCAGAAGCTGTCCAAATCAGAGATGGACCACCGCACGGTGATCAAGAAACTGCGTCAGCAACTTACTGAAAACACCAAATCTCAGACTGAAATGAAGAGAAAGACGGAGAAGCTTGAACGAGACTTGGTCAACTCAGAAGCAAGAGCCAAGCGGGCAGAGGCCGCAGAGAAAAGGGCAACTGAGTCTTTGTCATCCCAAACAAAGTCGACTAAAGACTTAGAAGCTGTTACCAATGAACGCAATGCGCTCAGCCAGACCGTCCAAGACATAAAATCGCAATTGAGTCGGGCGGTTTCCCGAGCCGAAAACGCCGAGACAAAGGCGAACTCTGATGCTCTAGAGCTGGAGAAGCAACGGGCGACAGAGCTAGACGAGGAGCTATGCAACCTGAAGATCGAGCGCGACATTAGTGAAGAAAGGTCTAAGAGGGAAATTATTGAGTTGAAGGAGAAGATTGAGCAAGAGAAAGAAAGGGCTCGAATGCTCGAGGCCGAATTGAAAAGCGAACAGTCTGTCTTAGAAAGCAAAATGGAAAGTCTTCGCTCCCGCGCAGAAGAAGCTTCATCAGGAGCAACGGGAGAGACTCAAGCCAAAGTTTTGCGTCAGATCGAGAATCTACAAACTCAATATGCTGCTGCTAGTGAAAACTGGCATACATTAGAGGGTTCTTTGCTCTCGCGCCTGGCTAGTGTGGAGAAAGAACGCGATGATGCCGGTCGACGTGAGATTGACCTTCGGAAGAAGATTCGAGAGATGGTAAGATCTCAAATTCCATACTCTGGTATGCTGGGAGACTAACTAATATCAACGTAGAACCACAAGTTAAAGAACTTCGAAGAGGAACTAGACAACGCCAAAGAAGCCGAGCACGATTTGGACAGCAGGCTCGAGGAACGCATGGAAGAGCTGCAAAAGCTACAACAGAAACTTGAGAAAGCGGCAGAGGACCTCGTCTCAACGCAAAAGGACATGGCTGAGCAGAAGAAAATATGCGACGCAACATGGGCGCAGAAGCTGGAGGAGGAGAGGACCAAGTGGAGAGAGCAGGTGAACTCCCCGTCGCAACTGCGCGGAGTATCGCCCGTTGCATCTCTACGGCGATCGAGCACCCTCGAGGCCATGACCCCAGGGATGTCGGACTTCCGCCCTCCTAGCCGGCGCTCGTCGACCATGGCTTTCACCTCACCTGAAATTGGCACGCCGCCTCGGCAAAATTCCTACCCTGCCTCATTCACCCAAGCCACGCTTTCTCCCCCCCACATCAACACCAATCCATCAATCCTGGCAGCGCCTTCCATCAGCTTTGAGCCGGAAGAGTATTTCGAAGATTCTGGTACTCCTGTCACTCCTTCGGCGTATGGGGGCACCCAAGCACCTCCATCGCGCGGTATCAATGACATAATCTCCGAGTCAACCGTCGGCGCTGGCCCTTCTGTGCAGCTGGTCGAGCGGATGAGTGCCACAGTCCGCCGCCTAGAGAGCGAGCGCGCCGGCTCCAAGGACGAGCTGGTCCGCGTAACAACCCAGCGCGACGAAGCTCGGCAACAAGTTGTTGATCTCATGCGTGAGCTCGAAGAGAAGCAGCTCTCGGATTCTCGCGTGCAGGAACTTGAAGCTGAACTCGAAGATCTTGATCAGCGCTACCAGACTACTCTTGAGATGCTAGGCGAGAAGAGCGAGCAGGTTGACGAACTCAACGCTGATATCGCTGATCTCAAGAAGATCTACCGCGAGCTGGTTGACAGTACTATGAAATGAGGGCGAACTGGTTAGATGTCTACCTACCATTTAGTGAGCCGCCAGCTGGACGCTTCTTGGTTGGGATCTTTCGCTTAGACTTCAGCACTCGGATTTGTAAATAGAATATATGTCCTGTACAAATGAATCGGTGTTAAAAAACGAATTGGCTCCTGCATCCCAGCACGCCTTCCAAGGTTCCCTTTTACGGGGAGCAGTCATACCTGACCTGGTACTGAGGTCACTTCGACTTCGCAAAATGAGACTTCGCTTCCACCCTTGTACGCACATTCGGATTTTACCCCTGAAAGCCTTCCGCTCACAACATTTAAACAATTAGCATTGACCAGCAGGATTCCAGTATGTAGTTACATGGCAAGCTTTTACCACTTCTATGCTGACCATAGCCATTCAGACTAATAGGGGAGATTGAAGCCCGCGGCAAATTCCAAGAAACACTCGTATGGTCCAAAAAGTGGTTTCACAGATAACAACAATACTGTGAGCGCTTTGCTGCACGGCCTTACGCTATCTCAAAGCTGTTAGACATGAACATTTCAAGAAGATGAGGAATGCACCGAGTTCTCAGTGCCCGGCCTAAACTGCACCAGCTGCTGAGAACTTTCGGCCTGTCTTCTATCCCAACTCGCAAGAAGAACATTGAGTAACTCATTGGCAACACCCAACAACAAGAAAATCGCAATAACCTGTCCAAACGTCCATCCTTTCTCTTCAGGGTCGAGGTCGTTGCGAGAGATAGTCTGCTCTAGCGAAACAATCAAGTATATGCAAAATGAACAGTACGCGACCTTGTTCAGCGTAAAGTTGAGCAGCGCCTGGCCATGCAGCCTCTCGGGTGGCTCAAGACGATCCTGGTAAACAGGATGGTTGACCTCCACAAACCAATTAATCCAGCCTCGCTTCTGACCCTCAATCCTGTTTCCAGCGTCGGGATGCCGTCTCCGGTACGCAACGGAAGCGCACAGACACGGCAACAGACACGTGAAAGTAAGAGCATAACCAGCAACAACTGCACCCAGCGTCCCCAGAATGATATACCGGAATACAGGAGAAGTGGCTTTGATGCTGACGCCAAATACGACATAGACCGTATCCTTGTTGCACTGGGGCTGGCTACCAAATTGCGGCGCCGTCACCCAGACATAGACGTTCAAAGCAAGGAAAGCCGCCAAAGCCAAGATTTGGATTGCGGAGAAGAAATACAGTCGCCATGGGCCGAGTCCTGCATACCGGCCTTTGCTCACCATGTCCATCCCAAGTATGGCGAGAAGGTGCACTACACATATTGCGTGGAAGAGTGTTAGGTCTCCCCGAACTGTCTGGTAGATTGCTGTGCAGAGGAGGGCTAGTCCTTGCAATCCGAGGGCGGAGGAGACACCACGTGAGAACTCTTCTTGATCTTCGCCGGGGGCAAATACGCGGAGCAGATAGCTAACGATCGACCCGCCTAGGCAGAGGGCGTAGATCGATATACGGATCTGTGGGTGATGATTTAGCTGGTGCGCTCTTTTCTTGAAGGTAGGGAGCTAAATGGCGATAGGATGAGAATAACGTCGTATGAGACAAGACTTACTCCGACTCCAGTTACATCGGGATTAGCCTCGATGACACAGGCTGTTGAGTTCATACCGTGTGGCACAATGATTGTTGCAACGACTTTCCAAGCGATATGCTATAGCGAACCTGAGTGGAGGGGTGAGGGGTGAGGCGCTCTATATCTCA